TATTGCAGATGACACTTAACATCTTCTTCCCAACTAAAGACCCATTGAAAGAAGTAGAATACATCAATAACAGTCTTCAAAATATATCAACCTGGTTTATCAAAAATAAATTAATAGTAAATTATTCTAAATGTAATTACATTATTTTTGGTCCGAAAATTTTAACAAATATTATACCTAACCTAGACATAAAAATGAACAATATTTCTATTCCTCGCTCAACCAGCACAAAATTCCTTGGAGTAACAATCAAGGACAATCTTTCTTGGGATATTCACATAGATACTATGTCTAAAAGAATATGCAAAACCCTAGGAGTTATAAGCAAAATTTAAAATAAATTAAATAAACCTACTCTAATTGACCTGTATTATTCGTTAATCTTTCCTCACCTCATCTACTGCAACGTAATTTGGGGAAACAGTCCTGACATTCATCTAAAACAGTTAACAAAATGCCAAAACCGATTCATCAGAATATTTAAAAATCTTCATCCTCATTGTCACACAAGTGAATATTATCTCGAGATGAAAATACTCAACATCAAAAACTTGTTCATCTACCACGTTGCAACATTCATTTTTAGATTTCTACGTCAGCAATTGCCGGCATTTTTTAGAAACTTTTTCACTTTTGGAACTTCCATTCAAGCAAGAATTACACGCCACACGCCACTTTTCTATGCTCCACCAGCCAGAATTAAAGTACTTTGCATGAGTTTGAAACATACCGGCCCAGGAATATGGGAGACGATTCCACAAGAAATTAAAGATTGTAACACTTCGCATCTTTTTAAAAATAAACTGAAAAATTTTTTAATTACGAAAAGTTCTGTTTTTCAAGGATAATAATGTATATGTATATATATGTATATAAGTGTGTACATATTTCATTAACATTGATACATTTTCTCCTATTGACAATTTTATTTTATCATTGAGAAGCAATTTTGAGCTGCACGGTGGCCGAGCCCACAAGAATTAATTTTCTTTTTTTGGTCTCCGAATCATTCATGCTTTTGTTTTGTTTGATTGAATAAAAGTGATTTGATTTGATTTGATATATATATATATATATATATATATATACACACACATATATATTTTTACAATATTCTATAAATTCTACCGAATGTTTGGCGTTAATATGTTTGTAGTTCGTTTTTTCGATTTTTCTCACTAAAGTTTTTTGGTGAACGTTTAGTTTATTAAAATTCAAAATAAACTTATTTTTCGAATTCATGCTGCAAATAAGGCCATATTTCGATTTCGAATGAATCATCATCAGTGCTCCTTGCTGTATATATAGGGAAATATTGACTTTGTCAAGATTAACTTTGACGTTGTAAAAATTAACTTTGGTGTTGTAAAATTGAACTTTGATGCGAATTAGGTGTCAGGTTTCTTTATTGGCTGGTCTCCTTTTCTTCATCGATAGCATCATATTCTTCTTTGTCACTATTTACGATGCTAGTTTTTATTACTTCTTTGTTTTCGTTGTTGGTTAAGCGCCGGGTTGGAAATGAGGTTGTCATTTTTTGTTGTATATTTATTTTTGGTTTATTGATGTCAATTAGGACTGCTTCTGCAATTTTAAGATGCGTGTAGTTGCTGTTCTGGTATATTACTTTGGTGTTGCTGTCGAGGATTTCACGGCTAATTGTGATTGAGTGTGTTGAGTCCAAATGAGATTTGATAGCACCACTCTGTTTATGCATCGTAAGCCTTCTAGTCAGTGAGGTAGTAGTAATCCATATATAAGAGTCATGTTGACGTTCACAGCCGTCAAAGGGGCAATTAAATTTATATATTACGTGATTACGCTTTAACTCAGAGTTATCTCTAGGACTGAAGTTGTTTTTCAGTATTAGGTGAGACGTCTTTTTATTGTTGTAATAAATTCGGAGTTTAACTTTACTATTTGGGTTGGTTGGTGTGACAAATAGTTGGTTGGTGTGACAACCTCACTTCCAACCCGGCGCTTAACCAACAACGAAAACAAAGAAGTAATAAAAACTACCATCGTAAATAGTGACAAAGAAGAATATGATGCTATCGATGAAGAAAAGGAGACCAAAGAAGATGACCAGCCAATTAAGAAACCTGACACCTAATTCGCATCAAAGTTCAATTTTACAACACCAAAGTTAATTTTTACAACGTCAAAGTTAATCTTGACAAAGTCAATATTTCCCTATATATACAGCAAGGAGCACTGATGATGATTCATTCGGAATCGAAATATGGCCTTATTTGCAGCATGAATTCGAAAAATAAGTTTATTTTGAATTTTAATAAACTAAACGTTCACCAAAAAACTTTAGTGAGAAAAATCGAAAAAACGAACTACAAACATGTTAACGCCAAACATTCGGTAGAATTTATAGAATATTGTAAAAATTATGGTCTATTACCAACATATGGCCTTCTTCTTTGTCACTATTTACGATGCTAGTTTTTATTACTTCTTTGTTTTCGTTGTTGGTTATATACACACACACACACACACACACACACACACACACACACACACACACACACACACACACACACACATATATATATATATATATATATATATATATATATATATATATATATATATATATATATATATATATATATATATATATATATATATACACACACATCTTGAAGAACAAAGGTGATTTAAAGCTAGATAAAAACTAATTTAAAAATTAATTTCTATAAAAACTACTAGGCAGCTCAACAGATCCATTCAACTCGAACACGACCTCTCCATCCGGTGAAAGCAGAGTAGCGGGTGGTCCAAACGTCCCTCTAATCGTCGGTCTTGTGGTCGGTTTGGGGGGCGGCTTGCTTCTCATCGCGGCATCCATCGTTGGCTTCATATGTTTCAAACAACGACAGGAAAGAAAAAATTTGGAGTTTGATGCTGCCAACAGAAGAATGGATCGAACGAACGGAGGGTATCTGCCAGAGGAGTACAATGCTAGGGGTAATCATGACGACGACGATAGGCCCATCCCTTTGAGTGGGTGATGTTTGTTGTTGTTTGTTGTTGTCGTTTGTTTTTGTTTTTCTTGATTTTATTGTTAAAAACTTTTACTGCATTTCTCAATGAAACGTTACCTGTTTTGCAATTTTTTCAAGGGTCAATTTTATCATTTTCAAACTCTGTTGTTTTTAATGCTGTATTTTGTTGGTTGTTTTGTTTATTAGTTAATTAAATTTGTGTTGTTTTGATGTTGTTGTTGTTAATGGGACTGTTGGTTTTTAAGTACGGAGATGTCCTGTATGTCATTCCATTCATAATACTCATAAATATTTTACTGCTAACAACATTTGGATCTGACAAAAACACCAATTTTACGGTCAACAAAATTAAAAATAATGATACAAACTTGATAACACGAAGATGACAACTATCTTTTCTACTCATATCTTAACGTTTACTCACAACATCATCCTCATCTTCATCATCACCATCCCACCGGACCCCACCAAAGACATCAGCCCCCATCCTTTCACGCCAACTCATCATCCTATAAGAAAAAAGCGCACGCCAACTTGCTGCCGACAGCTACCGCAGACGACGACGATGACGTGAAGATCGTTGCTGGCTCATTCAAAGATGGCCAGGAACATTTAAGCAAAGTGAGCAACAAAAAACTGGTCGTGAAAAGGTACGGCAAGCTGCCCAGCATGCAGCAGCAGCAGCATCGGCAACAGCAGCTGCAACGGCATATAGATGGACGAAGACAGAGTGGACCACGCCTTATCACTTCCAGTACTCCATCGTATTCATCAGCCTCTCGCCAAAGGGACAGCATCTACATGAATGACCATTATGTGACGCTGAATAAATATTACATTGATCTTGCATCAAACCTTCAAAAAGATTCTGTTAGAAGTGCTGAGAGTAGCAAGAGAACTAATGCCGTCCACAAGAACAGCGACGATGATGTTGATGCTGATGACGTCAATTATTACATTAACGATGAAACGAATCTCGCGGAAACTCAACTGAAAAATGAGTTGCATATTCAATGGTTGAAAAATTTAAAACTCGATGGTAAATAAATGATTGCAGTAAAAAATGCTTACCGTTGTTCACAATATTATTCACGTTATCTGTTCTACCAAGTTGTTCACAGCGAGATGTTCGACAGTTTATTTCGCTTTTCACTTGCACACAATTTTACAGCGATTGTGATTTTTTTTTATCTATATTGTATAATTAGTTTCATAACATGGCAAAAATTCCACAAGCGAGCATGCCGGAAAATGAGTATTGTCGCGGGTGGGCTCCTTCTTTCTTCCCCGCACACAAAAATGTCACATGCCCCTCTAAGATATTATATAAATACGGCGGTTCAAATGATCACATGCATTTTATCAGAATGTTTCATTTACAGGCTAATACTTATATTGATACACTATCTATAAACCGAAAACTAATGAAAAGGCAACTTAAAATGGAGTGCCTGATTTGTATAACTGAAAATATTCAAAAATTTAAACAAGAAAAAATAATAAATAAGATAAAGGTGCTGCTTTTGTTCATACAATTTTTTGTTCAAAAAAGTAAAACGAAAAAACGTTAAATTTACCCCAGATTTTAAAAAATTCAAACCATTAATTTTATTAACCCTCTAAATTTCGCGGCGGCCTTTACTTTTCCACCTAAGACGTGTTCCCTGCCCCTCCCTTAGTTCCGGGCCTGCAGGTTAGCGTAATGTGATTTGAGCACATGCCTGGAAGCCAGCCAATCATCTTCTGTTTTAATTTAAGAGTATTTATGAAATGAGAGAACTACCTAGACGTACGCAATATATTTGAAAACTTTAATAAATCAGAATTGAAATCGATTCAATAACCGAACACATCTTCCAAACAGACGCCTACTTCTCGGGGAGACGAGTGAACAACCCGATTGCTGACGAGGCTGACGACGCCATCACTTTCCACGACGGATCCGTCAACAAGGGCTACAACTCCCTGACGCACGTCTGACCGCAGTGTCAAACACTCTTTTAGTTTTATCGAATATTTGAGGTTCAGTTTATTTTTGTCTTTTCAACTCAATTTGTTTTTCCTTCGACGATCTTCGCTCTCGCGTTGAATTACGAGATTTTGCATTTATCAACGATTATATTTTTTTATATTAATAATGACTACGTGTACATTTTTTATTGCTTTATCTCAAATTAAAAAAAAACAATAAAACGATTTGTTTTTCTCATTTATTTGCGCTGACTTCGAATCAATTTGTTTCATAACAAATCATTAGATATATCAAATAATACGCACACAGCTAACACACGCAAAAATAGAAATAGCAAGCTATGTGAGTGACCTAGCGTATTGCAATTTGAGTAGGCAGGCACTACTGAACAGCGAACACGAACACGGGAATCAATGCACACATGCGTACACAGAACATGGAGCGCGAGACAGACAGACAGACCTCTGCCTGCATACGAAGCCGGTCAGAGCAACGAAAGATCGGGCGGTAAATTTAACCGTTACACGATTTAGTCCGCTAAATTAATACTGTATAAAAATTTATTGCGCAAAAAATTTGAAGAAATTCAACTTGAAATGTTTTTAAAAGTTCATTCATGAATTTAGTTAATAAAATGACATAAAGCCAGAATGATCATTATATTTGTTTAACCTTTTAAAATCAAAAGAATTTCACCGACGAAAAACTGATAGACTAGTGTTTACAAAGATTAACAATGATCAGTCAATCAACGACGATCCCTGCTACTTTGGCATTCCATTAAGAAACTAATGTGGGTGGATACTGAAGGTGAGCAGAAACTGAAATTCGTTATCAATTTCTTCCAGACGTTTTTTGGTCATTCCCGTTTCCTTCACAAATTCTCGATTTGATATCGTTCACTAAATTTTTTATTTCCTAATTTTTCCCTCATTCCCGCGTTTTCCAATTCCCCATTTCACAATTTCCTCAAAATTATAAACAAAAAAGTTAAATTATGAATGTGTTCTTAATGCAAACAAAAAATTATCCAGTCCAAGAAACCAATCAAAAATTTAATTTAGTCCTTAAAAAACGAAATAAACCAAATAAGAAACAATCAATCAGTCAGACTAAACTAATAATAAAAGCAATCAAGTAATCAATCAAGCGCCACATAAACAATAAATTGTAATAATAATATAATAATAACAATAATAATAATATAATATAACAATAATATAACAATAATATAATAATAACAATAAATAATAAACAATATATTGTTGTAACCTTTGAATGCTCGTTATTGCCAAAATAACCAATGAATCAATAAAACAAGTACATACACATCGAGCAATCAACTAAACAACGACAGAGAAATACAACAAACTATTCCCGAAAGCTCCCATTCCCAAAAATATTATCTTACCAATTCCTATGGAAATCCTACAATTCCCGTTCCAATACTCACCTCTAACGGATACCCACAAAAGTAGAAAACAGCTTGTTTTAAATTATTTTATTGGTAGCTCGCATGTGGAAATTTGAAGTTGAGTTGGATTAAAAATAATTATTAATTATTGTAGACATGCGAACGTTGAAAGCTGACGTGTATGTGTGCTGCAACGTACCCGCGCCGTTGTGGTGTGCCTGCCACCAATCTGCTGAGGAAGGCCGTAGAACATTAAGCATAACAATATCTAATTGACCTCATTGAGGGAAGTAAAATAAAAGGAATAAAATAAATGACAAATAAATTTTAACGTCATTTAACCAGGGCACAATTTCAAAGAAATCTTTAGTATCTAAACTTTTTAATAAAATCATTCAGAATTATTGCCACGTCTAACAATTTTCTCAAGTTTTTCACTGACATCAAGTATCTTGCTTGCATCGAAGTGGATTATCTCAAAATTGTACACATAGCCTGCCAATGTAATAAACAATTCAATTAAAAATGAAACGAATTAAAGCTAAACGTTCAAAAGTTAAATTAGAATTGATTTTACGACCTCAAGACTATAGTTTGACACCTACAAACATACTATTTTAACAAGCTTCTCTCAGGACCGGATTAATAACAGTTTTCAAATGTCTTTAACATGTCCCATTTGGATAAAATTAAATTGTTCAAGTAACTATCAGTAAGAAAATAACCAAAGGACAACCACAGAATTACAGAAAATTGTGTTTATTCATGAACCAAAACCACCCAATTTGATGGACAGTTTTTGAAGCAACACCAAAACCATAAGCACGACGTTTAAACGTTAGAACTTAACATAGCAGAGAGCAAAACTTTTCCATAATTTCTTTGAAAAATTTGATGTAAAAAAGTAACAAAATGGGACCAAAAAAATTAACTTTGATGACCGTAATGCGACAGAGTTTAAGAAAAATTTATGTAATTTGTAAAACTGAATAACAAGAAAAATTATGTAGTTAACAAAACAACAAAGAACGAAAACTGTAGTTAATATTTAATATTGATAGTCTCTAGATGGTATCTTGTCTAAGACTTACTGTAGACTCAATCCGGCCCTGGCTTCTCGATTCAACAAATAAACGAAAAATTAACTATTTCAAAATCAAAATTTAAAAACAAAATAACTTTTTGGCGGTATTCTTTGAATATCCAATTTTTGAAACTCTTTCAGGAAGTTCTATAGAAAATATGTAAAAATAACTGATTTTATTTTAATATTCAAAGCTTTTCTTAACCGTTGCTATAGTCAATGTGTCAATGTCAAATTTAGAACCGTATATACTGAAAAACGGTTTTATTCCGAAGTCCTATACTTACTTAATATTTTGAGGTGCAAACTTCACGGCATATTTTAATGGCCCTTTTCATAGCTTTTTTCAAAACTCCCTTCTACTGCTACCTTTGGGGTACACTTTTTATTACTTACTTCAAACCCCCTCCATTGACTACTTCGAGATTTTTTTCACTTTCCACTTCGATGCTCCTCTCCACTGCTACTCTCCCTACCGCCCACTTCGAGTCGCCATAAAAACCCTAAACCCTAAATTTTTAAAATATCCTATCAGATCTACAGCTTCACATAAATTAACATGCCACAATGATTTCTTTCTTGGATAACGAATTTTAAAAAGCAACGCAAACACTTCATGTATTACAACCATTTTCCACTTTCTCACTTTCAATATGAACATGTGTGGCGATGAACAAAAACTTTTCCTATTAATAGATTGGAATATATTTTTTGATATTTGCAGATTTGTAGAAAATGGCGTAACAGTTTGTTTTGAAAAATCCTTCATTTCTTTCTGCAAACTAATCAAAATAATTCTCTCTAATTCTCTCTCTTGTCTGTCAAAATTTGTTATCTGTTTTGGTAAGGTTTCAAATTTCAGCCCAACAATCAAATTTTGTCGTATGCCTGCGTTCGATGATTGAGCTCAGCAATCATATTCTTTGTACAACATCGATAAATAGGTTTACAACATTTTAACTTCTCTGTCAAAAAAACATTTTTTGACAAAAATAATTGAAGTGACGCTGTTTTTGCTTACGAAAACAAAGTAAAACTTGCCTGAGCACTATTGTTATTCTCTTCATCTTCATACGATTTAGAAGTTTATTATCAGACTGTGGCTGATGAAAAGTGATTTAGCGGTTGCTCGTGACTATTATTTTATCTTGTTTGAAATATTGCAAATTTTGTAAGTGGCTGTGATCGTTTAACGACGACCAACCAACTACAGACCATCACGTTTTATATTCGACTACCAACATAACAACCCCAACTTCGACTACCAACATAACACTATTGCTATTTTTATCTTGTTTCTTTTCATTGATTGTTACTGTCCTCTCACGGCCTACCAACTATAACCTAATTCTCTCCGCCGATCAAAAGTTCTAGCCTTGACATACCTCTCACAGAAAAGTTGAATATTGGTGGGAAAAAATATTCATTCCTATCTTGGTTTCTCCTCAGCCAACTCTACCCGTCTGTCCGGTCTGGTGAGCATTCCGTAGCGTCTTGTATGGCCAGCCCCCATCTCATCAAGGTCCACTGATGTGGCTTCTTCCAACATTTTCTGATTCTATTTTCTACATTCATCTGCGTACCTCCTCAAATTAAATTTTCTCTTCAAAGTGTATCTTCGTTCTATCTTTACTAGCTGTAGTAAATATTTCAATCCTCCTTCTCCTCTGCCAATCTTGGGATCTGTCTGGTTTTTCAACGGCCAATTATTTTCATCTCCGACATCTGCAAGATCATCTTCGGCAATTGCAACATCATCTCCTCCAACTGCAACATCGTCTCCAACTGCAACATCATCTTCTTCAACAGCAACATCCTGATCGCTAACTGCAACATCAGCTTCTCCAACTGCAACATCATCTTCTTCAACTGCAATATTGTCCTCGGCATCTCCAACATCATCATTGGCAACCGCACCATTATTTCCGCCAACTGCCACATCATCTTTGCCATCAGCTACTACCTCTTCAATCGTCATCATCATCAACCTTCGCGAGATTATCTAGTGCATTTTTTTCGTCAAAATCATCATCGTCATCGTTCTACTTCTTTAGGTTTCTCCAATAACGCCGTGACGAGGCTGTGAGGATTTAAGGGTTTAATCTCATCTTTTAGAAATTGTAGTACACATTCTTTTATTCTAATTTCACATTCCCACTTATACTTGTACTCATCCACATACAGCCGCATACGTTTTTGTTCAAGTATCATCTTTTCATCGGTTTCCTCTGATGCAAATAAGTCCTCTTGTTCATCAATTTTTAAATTTGCCTGATCCTAATGTTTAATCTTCAACACTTCTTAGTTTCTCTTTCGAGTCTGCGCTATGTTTCAAATCTGCTATTATTACTTATTAGTTCCATGTCTCTCAACGCCGCTTCATGAAGCTGTAATCTCAGCTTTTGTACTTGGTTTTGTTTGGTTTCTTCACCTGGCGTGTCCATATTATATTTACGACTATAATTAACATGTTAGTAGTGTTTTTGTTGTCGTCGTTCTGTTTACTTGCTTTACTTTTACAAACAAGCCACACCGTTTGATTTCGCTATCCCCGATACACACTTTCTTCGTATCGTCTAGTGTGTAACTCACTTTTGACACCAGTTGTAAGGAATCGTTTTCGGTCTCGGCCCGACGATCAAAAGCTCTTAAATTTTAAAACAAAAACTTTAATTACTCTAACAAAACCGGATACAATAAAAGTTCAAATAACAAACGTTCGTATACCTTCTCAATTGTCAGGATATATATGTATTTAATATTAATAACGACAACGCTTGGTTAACGACACTACAAACTTCTTTGACATTAATTGACGAAAAATTCTTGCAACAGCATCAACGTTCAGTAACGACCACCAAATTATTACTAACCGAGTACCAACGTTTACCGACGACCAACCACCTACCACGAACCAACTACCGGTGTTTGCCGAAGTCCGATCAGCCACCCCGATCCGACTACCAACGTTTAACGACGATCGACCACCACGTTTTATATCCGACTTCAAACGTAACAACCAACTAACCCAAATTCGCAATTTAAAACTATCAAAAACTCTCCCTTTGTAATATCACCACCGTATTTGTAAAAAAAATATAATATATTTAAAAATAATAAATAAAAAATAGTATATTTATATTATACAAAACCTCTCCACTTGACGTTATTCCATTACTTTCTAAGCTCTGCAATCTTTCCCTGGAAACAACCTTTTTCCAACTTCTTTAATGATAGCTCAAATTCTAATTTTACAAAAAAAATCTAACCTTGATCAATCTGATCCTTACCGTCCCATTTCCAACCTTTCAACCTTTTCTAAATTTTTTGAATGCATTGTCTTGAACAGAATTTTCACTCATATTTTTTCATTTTCAATCAGCTTACAGGAAATGTTATTCTGCAGAAACATCACTCATTCATGTTCTCGACCAACTTGCTAACATATGCGGAAACCAAAATTGTGCTGTCATTGTCAGCCTGAATCTTTCAGCAGCTTTGAATACCTATAACCATCAGATGCTTATTGGCGGACTTAAGGCAGAATATGGCATCACGGGATCTGCTTTATCTTGGTTTCAATCTTCCCTTTCAAATCGTTCTCAATATCTTAAACTTGGTTCCCACTCTTCTTCCAGCTTCACCTTATCTACTGGAGTTTCCCAAGGATCTGTCCTTGGTCTCATTCTTTTCACTACTTACACCTCTCCTATTTCTAACATCATTAACATTTTTGACTTACTCTTTCATCAATACGCTGATGACATATGTCTACTAGCTAAAATTTCTACCTCTAATCATATATCTCAACTCGACAACTTAAATGCATATACTATGGCCGTAAACGATTGGCATTTATCAAACTTTCTTCAGCTAAATCCTCACAAATCTGAAGTAATGTTTCTTGTTAGTCCGCAGCAGTTTATCAAATGTTCCCCCATCACACGTTCTCTTGGCTGATTCTTCTCTTCCCTAAACCTCTAAACTGAAATTTTTAGGCTTAACTTTTGACTCTTCTCTATCTATTAATTCTCATGTCTTAGCTTTGATCAAATTTTGTAACTATTTTACGTGGACTATTCGTCATATTCGCAATCTTTTTACTGCTTCTGCACTGGCTCGATGTCTCGTATTATCCTACCTTTTACTTTCACTTCAAAGAGCTCAAAATATAGTTGCAAAAGTTGTTTTGAATATCAGTAATTTACCTTCCAGCAAAGATTCCCTCATTCAGCTACATTGGTTGCCAGTACGTTTACGCATTATATTTAAACTCGCCAACCTCATGTACAAGTTACTTAATACATCTTAACTATCATATCTTCAACAACTTATATCGCGTCGTTCATCAACTCGTCAACTTCGCTCGTCATCATATAATCAGTTGCATCAACCTGTCAGCAATTCTTCAGTTGTCAACAAATGTTTTACATACAGCTATCCTTCCATATGGAATGGTTTGCCTGCCATCATTCGTCAATGAACCAACCATCAAACTTTTTAGGAAACGATTAAAGAACTTTTTGTTTATCCAGGCCTACGGAAACGTCAAAAGTCATTGATTCTCCAAACGCCTCTGAAGCTATGCATAGTACGCGATATAAAATAATAACAATAATAGCTAAAAGTTTGAACCCTAACACATTACAATCCTCTCTTCAATATTTCTCAGAGGTATCAGCAACAAACACACAGTGCCTGTAAAAACATGTAAAACAACGCATCATACACATTGCATGTTATAGGTGGGGATCACTTTGCAATCTAATCCAGTCACTACAATAGCAGTTTCAGGAACTTTATCGTTACATCATCGCGCCGCTCAAACAACTGCAAAACTAAATTTCTTTTTCAAGTATTTGGATGTGACCAATAATTGAGAAATTGAAGCTTGCATATAATAAATTAATTTGTCGTCAGGTCGAAAAAAATGTTGCACAAGTCATTACGAACACATTTCATCACAAAAAACTCAAACTAAATTTATAACGAGAAAATATTTTGTATTGTTGCCGGCAACCGATTTCAATTACGCCAATGCGAATTTGAAAATTTTTACAAAAATATGACTTGCAGCTTCGATGTGGGTTTATATGGATAGTAGAAATTCAGAAATGTATTAATGACATACATGTGTTAATATGATTTGATGATATGGTTTAATAATAATAACGACCATTATGCTAATTGTTGAAACTCACTTCGAGAGTCTTTTCATTTTTGTCATTTATGATGGCAATTCTAATATCCTCAAGAGTTGTTTTTGGATTTTTTTTTAAAAATCGTTGAAAGACTTTAAAAAATGTAGAAGCGACCAGATCAGAAGGCATTCCCAAGCCACCACAGCCCAGTGGAGGGAATACTATTGATTGAAATTTGTCTCCACTTGCCTTCTCCAAGCAATCTTTAATTGCTCTATGGAGTTCCTGTTTTCAAGACATTCAAATTACCAAAAGAGAAAATATAAAAATTACATACCAATTCTAAAATAAATTAACTAAAATCTAATGAAAAAATCAAAACTTCATAAATTTTTATTTATTCTGTAAGTTTAATTAATGTTAAAAATTAAATAACCAAAAATAGTTCTAACCTCATCTTTTGGCTTTGTATTTAATTTAAATTTCCAGAAGCAGTGATATACTTTGTTGCATGAAAGCCCATAACTGCTCGTTTCTCCAATCAAATCTATTTGAGAGTTTTTAAACTTATTACATTCTTCTTGCAATTTGGGCCCAGCTTTTTCCAATAGACAATTAGATATATCACCTTCACTGAGGTTGAGTGATTTCGGTACAGAGTTGACAATTATGTTCACCTGCGTGTTATCACGTTGAAACAAATTTTTTGGTCCTATTTAATTAGAAAACTAGTAAATTGAAAAGTACCGAAAATAAAACAACTAAAAATAATTTCATTGAATATTTTAAGAAAATTTTAGAATGATATTTACTTTTTCGTCTTGGATGGGAGCTTGGATTATTGATATATTAGTTGAACCTATGATACCTTTGGCCTTCACTGGACCATCATAATCTGTAAAAGTATACATTCAAAATCTATAAGCATTATAAGAAAGACATTTTGAGATATTTGTTCATACAAACTCAGTTTTAATTATAAAACTAAAACATGAGCAGATAAATTTCATGCTCACTAAATAAAAATGCAACTATCTACTGATTCAACTGGTCTAAAAGAGTTTAAAGTTGACAATATTAAAACAAACTTTTTTTATCAAGAATCTTGTAATCAATTTTACACCCATGGACAGATTCAAGTCCTTTAACAATGTATTCAAAGTTATTCACTGATTCAATAGAGCACAATTCCTTATCCTGACACCGTACCCTATGAACTGTATCTTCCAACATTTTTTTCAATTCACCCACATCTTCATCACTTCCAATGGCCATAATATCAAATGCGCAAACATCATCCTGCAGTTGCAGGCACTCCCTGATGTCAACCAAACCATCATTCATCTTTCTGATCTTTTTCAGTTCATTTTCTTCCTTCTTTAAGAACTCTATGATGGATTTTTTCCCCACTGGCACTCTTTTGTGTCTGCAAAAATTTTGAAAGTTCTGAGCGAGTTGGTAGTCTGTCACTGGGGATGAACATTTGACTATCAGCTCATTGGTCCCATCAGCATGATTCAAAGACAAAAATTTAAATTTTTCTGTAAGTTTCGGTGTGCAGTGTTTGATCAAATTGGTGAACTTTGGATCAAATTTTATTTTCCTTTCCTGGTGTTAAAGGGAAAAACATCAAATTTAGAGTTTTATTTATTAATTATACTAACAATAACTAAAATGCCAATTATTTGTAAGATAGAAGCCGAAAATCTCACAAAACATGTTTCAACTGAATCAGCAGAAGGTATTCCAGGTAGGGGATCAGATTTTAAATCCAAGTCTGAACAATATTTGGATGAACTTTCTAATGTTGTCAGGTGTGGACTGCTTCCATTGGAAAAATGACTGCCTACACTTAGCAAGACCCATTCTGCAGTTGATGATAAATTATTTTCACCATTCCACTTCTTCATTTCAAGTGTGGACCCATCTCGCAGTTTTATTTCCCCATGTTCCAGAGCTTTCACTGCATCTTCAATCAGAATTTAACATATAAATATACTAGAATTATTTTTAAATAAATATGAAAAATAAACAATGCTCAAAAAATATCTTTCTGTTCAATCTCAGCAGATATTTTGAACTGATTATTGGCGGCACAACTAACAACAATTTTCGATCCAAAGATTGAATTGAAATCTATTTACTGATTCATTCACCAGCCACCAATCCAACACTAAACAGCAAAATGATGAAAAAAGACAATAGAAAATATGGCACAGAATGAAAGAAACAGGAAATGCGGTGGATTGAAGGCATAACACACAGTGGTAAAAAATAAGGTTGTCAGCCAAATTAAATTTTTTAGTTAGTGTAAAAATAAAATAGGGGTTGGCTATGACAACCATCAGAACAGGTGGGGAACAAGCAGAACAATGCAAATAAATTGGAAGCAGGACTGAGCCAGTGTAGGATATAAATTAAAAAGTCAGTCTGTAGTAATAATAACAATAATGTCAGCTGTGAAGCGCCAGTACAAGCAAAGCAACTGAGGCGCCCTCTATTATATAATAAAAAAAAAAATTGTGCCTATGAATAAAGAGGATATATAAAAACAGCTTGTGAAGTTTGAAAACATTGAATAAGCAGAGTATGATGCAACACGTGCATGTTGGGGCCACGATCAATCGATATTGACAATTCTTCTTAAATAGTCATTCAACATTAAATTATGTGACTGGGCAGACACTTGCTAATGAAATTCTCAAATTTCTGAGTAAAAATTTTGCAGGATCTTGGTAGTGTTGCACCAGAAAAAATTTGCTTTTTATTGAGTTTGTTGCATATTGAATTTGTGGCTGTAGATGAATGAAGGAGATGTCATGCAAAAATATTGAATGTTCACAAAACCGACCAGAATGGGTAAATTCTCAGAACAAAAGATGAAATTCATACAATTATATGATTATTACACAAACAAGAGGATTGATGACCAATGAAAAGCAATTTGTCTATTTCAGTTTTACCTTCTTTAAGTTGAAATTTTTTTTTGAATCCCTTGACCTAATTTCCTTTACCATACCTCTACCATTTTTACTCTACCATATTTTTTACTTTTATTTTATTTAAGGTGACAGTCACTATTTGGTAAGTTTATTTTTTATCAAGTTTATATCTTTATATATTTGTATTTTATGAGCATATTAGTTATAATAAATAACATGATCAAATTGGAAGCAGACCTGCATCGATTAAAAATTTGATGATACAAACAGAGTTGTAGTAAAAAATCTCGAACTGGCAACCAAAGTGTGTATCGATGTAAAGATTTACTTCATCTAGATATTTCTCCTCAAACTTCTGCACCTCTACATAGCACATTGCAACAATACACAAGTTGAAAAATATAATTTCTAATAAGTTGGTTTTGATTGGAGAAGCTCTTTTGAGCTGTTGAAAATTCCTAAAAATTCTAAATCTTTTAAAAGTAAAAATATATTTAATTTAATTAATTATATTCAAACAATTAATACAACTTTTAATTTATTGATTAAAATGTTAATTATATTAATTTTTTTTTAAATTTCAACTAATTTAAATTTAAAAATTAATAAATTATAAAATAAAATAAATTATATAATAATCATAAATTATAAAATATATTATTTATATTATTAATTATACAAATTAACAAGTTATATAAACATACTATGTATATGTCATATAGTATATGATGACATGTCATATACAAGATATATACTAACTAATAAAATAAAATAAATAGAAATGAAATTATATAAAAAACAGGTTGTTCTGCACTAACTTAACTCACTCTACCTACATTGTCAAAACATGATTAAATTTTAAAAACCTCACGATCTTCTCGTCGATGATAATAACAAAAATTATCTCAAAACACGCTCCACGCACCTCAAAACCAGAAATATAAACTAAAAAAATCTAAATATAGAAACTCTTGAAAGACGAAATTTCCCAAAAAAAAAACAAAACTATGAAAAACTTTTCAATTGCGCATTTTTATAATTTATAACAGTTTGTAAATTAATCTAAATGTTGGATATTTTGGTTCTAAACATTTAATAGATTAACTAATTTATAAAATTTAAATTTAAAAAAAATTTTAGATTGAAATTGATTAAAAGATATACACATTGTGTAATTTTTTGGCATTTTGCACTTCTATGTACCTACCAATATATAGATATACATGCATGTACCACAGTGTAATACATATATGTAAAAATTAAGATGCTTGAATATTGTCCTTATCTATATATATATATAAAATATAGATATATAGAATATATAGAATATTCTATATATATATATATATATATATATATAGATGTCATACTCTTTTGCTGACCCTTCTTTCCCTGTCACAAATTTTTGACCCTGCTTCTCTTGAAAGTTGCCATTTTAGAAGGTCCATGCAAATTACCAATAACACGGGAAATGGTTGAAAACTCAAATCAACTACATCTAGTAGCGTTAAATCTGAGCAAACACGTACCGTGCACGGAAAACAAATTTCTGATCACGCATAAAATTGCAATGCCTTTTTTGATAAAAATATATTAACAAAATTTTTATTAACTCAAGATAGAAATTGAAAAAGTGCAACAAAAAGTGCAGAACGGGGTGTTACATCCGATTTTACCAAAATCGATCCCTCATTGTCACAAAATGTCACAAATTTGCAAGAAGAATTTCATCAAATCACATTGGATTCAATTGTATCAATAATAATTATTGTATCACACAGTGACACGATCGCTGCTTGATGAGTGACCGGACTAGGTGCTGTTTTTAAACTACTACATGTAAAACACAATTGATCTAGAACGGTGGAAAATTTTACCAGAATCAAAAGATTACGACCGCAGAATTTCAAAATAGGAATTGAGTTGTAGTAATCGAAGGTTGACCAAGAAATCATCAAGTCACCTAACTCTTGCGTGCAATCAACCAATCATCATCCCTATTGTGGGGGGAGGGTGGGGTGTGAAGGTTCCATTAACGGGTTATAAATAAAGAGTGACGTCATCCTGCTTCCATTAAAATATTGAACACAATAAAGTTATAAATTGATTCATTATTATAACAATAATTATTAATCATTAAATTTACTATATATAAAAATATAACTATTATTATTATCTTTATTATATAATGTTCATATAAATTATATTGTTGTGCTATAACATGAACATTATATGTGATGAACAATGAATTGCAGCACTCAATTTTAAATTATAACATGAACATTTTATTATAGATCAGTGAAAAAATCTATAAATAAAAAATAGTTTCAATTAATTAAACAATAATCTATGCACTTTATATAACGAAAAATGTTTATTTTATATATAACCATGATGAACAACTTATTTTTTCAAGTCGCGACAAAATAGGTTGGGTACAAAAGCGCACTGGTTATCATCTTATTTCAAGACAAGTTTAAGTTTAGCGTCATCTGTCAAAATGCAACTTTAAATACTTCACAATCGAGACATGAGTATATAAGGTACTAACAATTTCGGATTCCGTTTTTATTTAAAAAATTGTCTCGTTCAATTGGTCGACGTTTGGATAAATAAAATATTTTCCAAATCGAATACGTGGCAAGAATGTCTAGTGGAAATGTTGAGAATGATTTGTATTCCTTAGTTCAAGATGAAATTCCTGATTGGATACTCTCAAAATGGACACTTATAACAACCCTGCTTTTCCTGTCATTCTTCATCTATTATAAGTTTGTATTAGAATTATTTCAATAAACTTGAAATTTTTTAAGGATTTTAACTTATTATTATTGCCAGCACGTAACATGTTGTCGTAGTATATTTAACAGCATTCAGTATAGAATCCAGACAATGTAGGCTGGAAGCCAAAATTTTTTAAATGTAGACATTTTTTCTATTTGACGGGTGGCAATTAATTAACCCAAATGTTTGCTAGTCTTGTTAAAATTAGGCTTTTTGGGAGCATTTTATGCTTAGAAAGGGTGTTTTTCTGTCTAAAAGTTGAAATTAACTGACTTTTTATGAGAACGCTGCTCCCAACGGTGGAAACATGGTTTCCCCCTTAGATCCGCCACTGACAACATCCATGTATAAATTTAAAACCTTAACTAATATTCAATAAAACATATCAAGAGCGTGCCTGGGCGGCTTATGTATTTCTAAGAAGTCTACGTGTTTTTGGCTTATCATCATTTTTTGAATTTGAGATAGAAATTGAACTCTATTTGGAAAATTCGGATCTGGTTAGATCTAAACATAGATGTAAAAATGTATTAATTTCTTTCCTTGTTTATGGATCCAAGGTAAGAGTTTCGGTTCGAACATGACTGCGGTTAGAGTTTTGGTTCCATTCGATCTAATGTTCCAGATTAGATCGAATGGAACGGTTTGACTTTAAAATATTAAGCGATAACTTAATTAAGTAATAAGTGATTCTATAATTATTCTTTTTTATCAAAACGCGAATTTGAAGTTTGGCATAAACAATTTCAAGAATGCAAGTAAAAAATGAGAATATAATAATGATTATTAATTCTATTGTGAACGTAGACAATGGTAGCTTACGTAGCTTAAGATTTCATGCTTTATTTTGAAACTAAGTACATTTTATACACGTCACTATATGTCATTATATTCTAGATATGAGGTATACGCAACGTTTCTTTGTTTAGCCGGGCTACGATCACCCGACGTTACCAAGCTATTGCATTTCATGTGCCTTGTTCCTTGAAAACAAGGGGCAGAGATGGATTTCGAGAGCTTAATGGAACACACGTAAAATGCTAATAATCTTTTAATTGCACACATGCTAATTATTCTTTAGCTAAAAATATGCTAGCAGCACATATGATAATGACCCTTTAGCGCTATTTCATTGGCTGTAAAGTTGGCATGAATACAAGTGGAAGTGTGTCAAAAAATGGATTACGATAGCAGCACATATGCTAATAACCTGTTAGTACGAACTTATGCTACTAACAAGACACCTTGTTGTGAGTTAAAATAAAAAATAAATAAAACAAACACAATTCAGGCGTAATAAAATATTATCTTTATTCCCACGTAAATCCCGAGCCGTTTCGTTTACATGCTATCAGGAAAAAGGTGAAAGACATCGAGAGAGAAGCAAAGACATAAAAATTAACATAGATTAGGTAACATTGAAAATTGCAATGATCTTTAAAAATTAATATATGAGATAGTTAATAAATGAATATTTGATCTCTACAATACTCCCCTACAAACCCTTTAACGCTATATGCCAGTTATAGATAATGTGCTTTTAATCATATATATATAATATCATTCTAATTTATGCATGAAAACCATTGAACGTATAACTAACGCCTCTAACTTGACGGGCGTCCGAATATCCCGTGACACAAAGGAACCACGTTTTGACTTTCTCGTGGCACCCCCTCTTAAACACTTTCATAGCAAACGACTTAATCCCCATGTTATGTTAAGTAACAACCAAAATTTGCCCAACTTTGTCCAACTCCCTTGCCCGGCCTTGGAAACTTTTGGTCACTTTATAAAATGGTCTGCTTTATTATTTTAATGAAATAAATAACAAAAGAGATTTCATAATAATAATAATTATTATTATTGTTGTAGCTGTTGTGGCTGTCGTTTAAAATCAACTAGTAAATCAAGAAATTGATTTTACGGATTTAGTATTTATGTGGCGCTATTCACGCAGATGCATTAGAAAGGTTTTTGATTTTTGAAATCTTGTATTGAATTTTGAAGCGTGTAATACAAACAATGGGAAGGAATGCTCCATTAAGACGCACAGAACACATCACTCTTGGCTTGAAAATTGAATTTCTAATAATTTTAATCATCAATAAGCTCAACTGATAAACATGTTAAGTCAAATTTAAGTCCGTTTAATTTGAATCATCAAATAAATGGATGAAGCTCTTGACGCAAAAATTTTAGTATTTAGAGTTAATTAAATTATTTGGTTAGGCAGGCTTTAATAAGGTTTCAAATAATTGGTGTTAACAAACCTGAAGTTTCTAGTGTTTTCATTCATTCATTCATTCATTCATTCATTCATTCATTCATTCATTCATTCATTCATTCATTCACCCGTACAGGGTATGGTGAAGTTTGATATTGAGATGACTAAAAAGTATGGACCTGTCCACGGGTTGGTAGGCAGCACCATAAACATTACCCTGCACTTAAATTTTTCATCACCATCCTCAACTTCATTTCCAGAGTTTATTTCGGCAGGCAGCCCCTCATGACCATCTACGACACGTCCATCTTGAAGCAGATCATGATCAAGGAGGCCCATCTCTTTCCTAATCATTTTGTTACTAATTGTTACAAATATTAATCATCAATATCATCATTGTAATCATCAGCATCATCATCATTAAAGTAGTAGCAATAATAGTAGTAGCAGTAGAAGTAGTAGTAGTAGTGGTAGTGGTAGTAGTAGAAGAAGTAGTAGTTGTTGAAAAAATATATATGTTATCATGGCGACGATTATAACAATAATACTTATTATATGAAGAAAAATTTTTTTATTAATGCTTTCATCATTCGATCATTTTTGATTGTTCTTAACCGTCAACCTCACATCAATAATATCAACATCCCATCACAACAGCGTCCTTACCATTATCCTCATCTTCATCACTATCATCATAATCATCTTCAACAAAAACAACAACAAAAACATAATCTACATTGTCATCATTATGACCGACAATATCAACATTGCCATAAAAATCAATAGCATCAACATCACCATCAACAACAACAACATAATCAGAATACTGGCCTATTTCCTCCGTTTTTGGATAATTTTTTGTTCCTGTTGAAAGATGAACACTGGAAGCACGTGAGGAGTGTTTTCAGTCCCATCTTCAGTAGTGGCAAGATGAGGAAGGTTATGACGATGATGATGACCACGATGATGATGACTGATAATGTAGACAGTAGCGGATCCAGAGGTGCCGTGGTCCCTCCCGTCCCGGTTGGGAGCAGTGTTTGTATTAAGTCAGTTAAACTCAGTTTTAAAAAGTACAAAATGGACAGCCGAAATTGGCGTAATAAACGATATAAAGGTCGCCAGCCTAATTTTGGCCACAATAGCGAACATTTGGTTAACTTCTTAGCTCCCAGTAAAATTTAAAGATGTTTACAAATTTTGCTACCTCGTCGACGTTGTCTAGATCTGCCACTGAATGTAGATAATGATGAAGCTGCTAAAAAATTAATTTATAAAGTCGTCAATTTTTTTCGTCTTTGTAGATGACAGGTAAAATAAACAAATGCTGCAAAACTCTTTGCAAAAATTTAAAAGTGCAGGCTGATATGAAAAGAACTTTTGATTTGGAAAGGTGAGATTTCAATTTATTACCCAGATTCATTTATTCATCTTCACTCACTTTAAATAACGAATGATGTAATGTTTTGGCTCTGCATGCATTTAATCTCACTGCACTTGATCCCGGCCAGTAAGTCCCGACGACACTCGATATCGAATATTAACATTTTTTAATTATTTTACTTTATTCGGCTACAAAAACTTTTATTTAACATAACTACTCATCCTTCTAAGAATGGTTTTTGTTTATCTTTGGTCATGTTTTTGTTTGTTTTCTGTTATGTCTTTGTTTCATCAGATATCGTGTTTTTATGGGCGGCCGAATGTTATAATGTTAAGGATGCTTGGTTCTGCTGTTTTAGTAACTTGATTTTAATGCAAAGAAGTCCTCGCCTGTCACATATGCTATTTGTCTGTTGTTGATTCATTTGAAAGTTATTTAATGATTAGCGTCAATAATGATATTAATAATAATAATGCTAATAAAAATGATAATGAGAACAATAATTAAAGTTTGATCAGGACCGAGTGGCGGGGTCAAGTATTGCGGGTTTAAGTGTAGGCACCCTAAATTTGATAATTTAAAATTAATCAAGATTTGTATCTGTTTCTAGTCTATTTTTAATTCTTTTACAAATCTCTCACCAAAATATTTCACCAACCGTCTGTTGTTCACCATCGTTTTTGCACTTTCACCATTTTTATCACCACCATAATCTTCACCACCACCACCATATTTAACGTCATCATCATTGTATCACGTGATCAGAATATACGACGCCTTCACAATGGACATGATAGCCAGTGTGGGATTTGGAGTCTCCATCGACTCCCACAACGATCCCAACAATCTCTTCGTCAGGATGGCCAGGAAGTTGATTGTGAACAAGTTAACATTGGGCCTCGTTTTAAAGTGTCGGTGTTTTATCATTTTATCAACTGTTTATATCATTGATTGTATTGAATTACTGTATCATGTAGTTGGATCTCACTCCTATTATCGTTTTCGACTGGTCCAGTGGAAGCAAAAATAATCTGAAAGGAAGATTTTTTACTGTTGTCTGGGTAAATTAAAAACTTGCCAAAGAAGCTGCAAACATGTCAGACATAAAACTTAGAACAAATTGAATGAGTTCAAACCATCTGATTATTTTATCCAACCTTTAACTTCACCTCCCGAATTTCTCAATACTCACTCATAACTATATTATTACATCATGCATCATCAACTGTCAAATCAGCATACGAGTTTCAAATACTACTGTTTCAAAATTTAAAAAACCGTTAACTAAAGTTATGTCTTCGGACTAAACAGGAAGTGATTCCAATATTTCAGCTGCCATCGCTGCAAATCATTGTCTCCTAAAGTTTGAGGAGCAGATGAAATGACATCATTTTTAAGGCCGAATAACCTCAGATGCAAACCGTGCTCTTACTCAAACTCTTGTGTTTTGCTCTTTTCTGGTCCTTTTCTCTAATCATTTTTAATATCATTTTTACGATCAATATTATCATCACAATCATCTTCAACATCATCATTATCACCACCACCATCATCATCATCATCATCATAAAAATGATAATGACTACCCCCAAAAGTCGTGGCACCCTGGTTGTTGAAACCTCTCACTCGCCTCGGCGTTCCATTGTTTGAGGATGATTACATCCACTTCTTCACTGACGTCATCAAGAGGACCATCAAGCAAAAAGATGACGATACAGCTGATGGAGTTAGCGATTTATACAGATTATACCGATTGCAAACGTTGTTGTTGGTGGTGGTGACTTTGACAATGATGATAACGAAACACCCAAACAACAACTGTAGTAGTGGTGTGCTGCTAGTGGTTGTTTTTTGATATTGTGCTGTTGTTATTGATGTTGATGTTTTTGATGATAAAGTTGTTGTTGGTGTTATTTTTGTTGTTAACAATGAGCAATCAAGATAACGGACATCGTCATCTTCTTCTTTGTTACCATCATTATCTTCATCATCACCATCATCTTCATCATAATCTTCATCATCATCTTCTTCTTCTTTATTATCAGTCATCATCTTCATTATGGTGACAATGATGACAAAATGATGGTGACAATGATGAAGTAGATAAAGATGATGAGGATAATGATGATGATGATTAGGCTCATGAAGAAAATGAAACTAGTTATAAATAAATAATGATGACGTCAGAAAATTATGTGGTAATGATGGTGATGGTTTATGATGATGTCTGACATGTTGCACTAGCCACAGAAAGACCTGGACCTTCTGCAGATGCTTATCGATGCTCAACGTGCAAGTGCCAATGATGAAAATCTCAAAAGAAATAATGATAATAAAAATAATAAGGATGATGATGACGATGATGATGATAATAACGCTGATTACAAACCTAAAAATGATATGTCCTGGAATGATTCGTCGGCGCACCCTAAAGGTCTGCATCGTTGTTGTTTCTATTGTAACATTGATCATCATCACCATCAATAACATCATCATCATCAAGAAAGATCATCATTACTAAAAATCATCATCATTGTCTTCGTTATAATCATCATCACATCGTCCCGATCATATTCTTCGTAGGCCTCTCAGACGAAGACTTGTTGGCTCAGAGTTTGCAATTCTTCTTGGTCGGTTTTGAGACGGTGTCCGCAGCTCTTTCCTATCTGTGTTACAACTTGGCCTGCCACCAAGAACATCAAGAAAGACTGTTCAACGAGGTCGTTCAGATCATTGGGAATGAGGTTTGTTTGTAAAATGATTTCTAATTGAGAAGGCTGTGGTCTTGTTTTTGAACTAACCCCCTCAAGAGTTAACTAATTTGGAAATAATTAATTTATCCTATAGATGGTTGTTTGTTGAATAAATTAATCAATCAACCAACAATCGACTGGTAAAAATTTTCTGCAAGATGGTGTGAGTATAGAGAGAAAGAATTTGGTCTTGCGTTGTGGAGGTAAAGTTTGATTGCGATGAAATCTCCGCGTCTTTGACATGCTATGTGCATGATGCGCTTTTTGCGCTGTGTGTTTTTTGAGTTTTGAAAGTTATTGTTATACAACACGAAAAAAATGACAATTCAATCCATCATTCAATCCATCAATCAATAATCTAAGAATCCGACATACGATTCAATCAAACAACTAACCTACCTGGACATGTGCCTCAATGAAACTCTCAGAATGTTTCCTTTTGCCACCAGGTCAGATGATCGAATTGATTATTAAATTAGTCAGTAAACAGGTATGTGAATAAATTAAACTTCAACAAATGAGCTGTCAAAAAAGCAAGTAATGTAAGAGTAGGAACACCAATTGAACGTTCGTTGCACACAGGGCTGACAGGGTCGCCTCACAGGACGTCACCATCAACGGGTTGTTTATTCCTAAAGGTTTCATTGTTGTTTCATTGTAACAAGTTACTTAAAACTAATTGACCATCATTATTTTGATCACTGTCATATCCCAATGGTCATCATCGTACCCACCTCGAAGGCATGGTTGTAGGCATCCCCATCAACCTCCTTCACAGTGACCCTGATTACTGGCACGAACCTCACGTCTTCAACCCGGAAAGGCAAGGACATCATTGTAATCATCGTCACCACCTTTGTTATCTTAATCATCATCCTCACCACCTCACCACCACCTACCACCTACCGACAGATTCTCTGAAGATAATTGGAAGGTCAACACTGTAGACCCCATGCGATTCATACCCTTCGGAGCTGGTCCAAGAAATTGTGTGGGCATGAGACTAGCCAAATGGGAAATCAGATGGCCGTTGTCCACCTCATCAGAAAATTCCGGTTTGGTGTTTCTGAAGAAACCGACGTAAGTTGGATTGATGATTTTTGCCATCCTCTTTCTTTTCTGGATAATTGATGTATGGCATCGTTTGGATTGTTGCTTGTTTCCAATCACTGATGCCGACAAACTTTGACCATGAAACTTTATAGGCGATAAAAATGGAAAAATTTGCTACAGACGATGAACGCGGGTCAGCGATAGCGGTGGTACCGATGTTAGTGTTGGCAAGTTTTTTCAAACCCTGTACCCGTAGATTTAGGCGGATCCAAACATTAGTGTTTTTCTTCTTTCACACTCACCCAAATTTTAAAATCATCAACCAGCATTATCGCTAACTTGACTTTATCTAAATCTTTACATTAAACCACGTGAATTACAAAGAGAGCAAGCTCGTTAATGTTTTCCTCCATCTTGTACAGTGTTGTTGTTTGTTGTTGATAGCTGGAATGATGATGACGTCAAAAATAATAATAATAATGATGCAAATAGTGATAATTAATAAGTTCTTTTAAATATTAATCAACTTAAAAGTGAATTCAAATAACAAATTCAGATCCCGCCTGTTTTTGAAAAGTTCTCCATAAAAAATATCAATGGCATAAAATTAAAGGTTGAAGAGAGATGAGAGAAGTGGCAATCATCGTCTTCATCACCGTCGTCATCATTATCATCATCACCATCGTCGTCATCATCATCGTGGTCATCATCTCGATCATCCTGATTATTATTGCCTTTATAACCATCCTCACAATAAATTCACCATTGTCGCTCAAAAACGCCAGCCCCATCATCACGTTATGTTATCATTGCCAGCTTCCAATCACATTGTGCTGATTAAGTTGCCGTATCATTTATCAAAGTGATCATAATATCTTTTACATGATTTATTCAGATGTTTACAACGTTTAATCAGTCAACTGATTTAAACTATTTGTTGCTTTTTAATGACATACAAATGCACACATACAAACACACAGTTACATACATACAAACACACACACATATATATACATATGCACGCATATATATATATATATATATATATATATATATATATATATATATATATATATATATATATATATTATATTAATGTACTTTTTTTTATGACTCACATGTCAGTTAGAACGCTTTATAAAGATGACGGGGCTTTGATGATCAGTAAAATTCATTATTTATATTAGAAACAGAGCTTTATATGATTTACTTGTCACAAACATAATTTTCAAGAAAATAAACTGAAAACAAGTTAGGTTATTTATTTAATTCAAAATTTCTAAAGAGCACTGTATGTGCGTGAAGATGGAACATGAAGAATGTTTATGTCTGCTTGCTCAATGGGTTAGTTTAATTGTTTTAATCACTTTTGTCTGAATATAGTCGTACGTTATGCGCTGAATTAATTTCACAACATTTTGTTTAACGGACCGAAATTTTGGTGTACATTATAATTTCAGTAGGTTGCACCGTGTAAAAATACACGCAGAATGTCGGGATTGTTAACTTTCATTGCTCACATCCGTATTTAATATGGTTCACAACTGAACCCCTTGTAACACTGGATGTCACCAAACATCGTCCTTATTTGGAAGCATTCAAATTTCAAGACTGCTCTGTGTGTAGTTCTGTTTACAATGAATGACAGCAACACTTCAGATGCAGTCCGTAGTTCATGTTTCTGTTATTAACACATGCTGAATTTATAAAGTTTTTTATTAGTTACGAATTTTTATGGTTAGTGAAGCGAGGGATGGTTACTGCAGCGACAGTCTGAGTGTAATTAGGTCGTACACATGTTCTCAGATTTTTTTTTTTTTAGTTTTTATAATTTGTATGAAAGTTTAAACGGCAAACTGCAATTAATATCATTTGATTGAATTTTAAATGTGTGACATTTAGAAGTTCGTATTAACAATATAATCTTGCAAAATATCGAGAAGTGAATATATCTAATAGAAATTTTTAATTTATCACGAAAATTGATAAACGTAATTAAGTAATTAAGCTGAAAATACAAAACATTTTCAAAAGCAAACAAAACACGTAATTAACAAGAAGCACATTTGTTGAAAAATGTCTCAAATTACTGAAACTATTAAACTTAAAAGTGGATGTTACATCGATTCATCTATTTATTTAGAAGTTCAAATTTGATGCTAAGGACAGAACACTCATGTTCACAAACATTGAATTATTTGACGCCATTATCGACCGACACAACTTTTCAATAGTTTTTTTTTCAGCTAAACAGCACCAGACAGACTTAACCGAACAGACTATCAGGCCTCTCAAAAATGCTGGTGACCACGTTAAAATTGCAACATCATTCTGTAGAGGCACCTTTTTTGCGACGGTCCCCTGGTGACAGCCCCTGGCCTTTCCTCCTTTGAATCATACTTTGTTGTCGTCTTTGCTGATGTCGTTATTGTATTTTTTAATGTAATAATAACAATAATAATAATAACAACACGCACAGCATCATTGTGTTTATTTTTTAAGTTCTAGTCCGGGACATTGGTTTGTTGGTTCACTCATCATCGTTGCTTCGAAGGCGGTGGTGGGACATTGAAATAGTTAACTAACGAAAATCAGATCAACCAAAATTGTGTTGTAAAAAAAATAAGCTACCGAAAAATTTGCAATAAATTAATTAAAATTATTTGTACATATGACCACGTAAGCTCTTAACGTTGATCAAGTTTTGCATCTCGTTGTAACACGTTTTACTTCAAGTATTAAGTTAATCCACGCAAGCAAATTAATAAATTGCGGCAGAAGTGAATGAAAAAAAATTTGAAGCAAGAGTTGCGATTGTCATACCCGCAATTATACAAAATACAAAACATCGTGATTTCGTATGCTTAATGTCTCCTGTCAATTGATTGCGCAACAAATTTTTTTAACTTTTTTAGACTAGATGGCTTTGCTCGATGTAGAGGTTGAGACATAAAACACAACTAGCTGACATCTGTTTCTATTTAAAGAATTATCTCATTCGATTTGCCGACGTTCGAAGGTTCACCTACTCAAATTGGCAAATAAAATTTACTTTTTCGCCGGTTCAAATCAGTTTTTAATCGAACGCTTGTCAAGAACAGAATGTCTAGTGGGAACGATTTACATGTTGGTACGTTAATTAACGATGAAAATGTTGGTTGGATGTCTTCAAAGTGGGCAGTCATAACAGCAGCGCTTCTCCTCTCACTCCTCATCTACTACAAGTTTGTATTTTATTGAAATCATTCTAATAACATTGCTAAAGGCTAAATGATTGATTATTAGTAGGAGGCTTTTGACTTTCAGTCAATTTAACCAAACTATTAAGAATGATATTGTATTTAATTTAGGCTTTGCAAATAAAAATAATCATAAAGGCATTCACAAAACATTCAAGAAGCACAATTTCAGCTGGAAAAAATTCAACGACAAATTCTTGAACGAAATTCTTTGTTATTTTTGTAGATGTTTCTCCAGCGATAACGAAAATTTGTAACAAACAGGTGTTACATGAATGTATAACATAATTGTATTAAACAGAATCATCTTTATTTCGTCGTTATGAAAAAACTTTCCCAAAATTAACGCTACGTTCGGTCTTTTCAACGTTTTCATCTCATCATCACAACATCATATCGGAGGCAGGCGAACTTTTTGAAGAGCCACATAAAGGTTTAAGTCAGTTTCGGTGAATCACGCATTTTATATATTTATATAAATGGGCAAAATTCTTTTATAATATATATATATATAATATATATATATGATGTGTGATCCAACAAAACCGACCCAAATTTCAATGTGGCCAGTACACATATATATATAACATGTGCTCGCAGATCGTAGAAAATGAACTGAAACTAAATTATATGAGAGTCCATCGCCAGCTTGTGAGTACCCAAGCATTTATAAGCTGTCATTAATTATTAATTATGTTTAATTTAGTGGTAAATGAATAACTGATGACGTCAAACAGGTACCTAACATGGACCTTCGACACATTTACCAAGCTGGGCATCAAAGGTCCAACTCCCTTGCCCGGCCTTGGAAACTTTTGGTCACTTTATAAAATGGTTTGCTTTTTTATTCATTTATTCATTCATTCATTCACTCATTCTTTCACTCATTCATTCCTTCCTTCAATCATTTGTTTACTCTTTCAGGGTATGGTGAAATTTGACATTGAGATGATCAAAAAGTACGGACCTGTTCACGGGTAGGTTGCGACTGCCAACTTTCAACATCACCATACATTCACCATGATGTGTCATGAAACTTTGATCATCATCATCGTCGTTGTCGTCATCATCGTCGTCATCATCATCATCATCACGGTTGCTGATATCATCACAACATTCACATCACACAGTATACCTTCGATACATTTAGTATCAGGTTTTTACATTAATGAAAAATAAGAAACTGCGTGCCAGTTCTTTTTAAAAATTTTCTCAATGTCAAAAACTGCATAAGGACGAAAAAAGTAAGTTTTAAAATCAATCATCACAAAAACCAACATGGCTAACAGACTCGGAAGTCAGCCAACTACTAAAAAAACAACGTCTAACTAATCAACGCAGTTGAACTAAAAAGGGTCGATTTGGTCGTAACAGTCATCGTATCATCACCACCATCCTCATCAATGATAATTTCATACACATCACCATCGTCATCGTCAACAGTTGTTTGTCCTTTATGCCATTAAATCTGCACTACTATCATCTAAATTGTAATTAACATAATTTTCATCATCATTTAAATCATAATCAACGTTAAGTTTTATCATCATTATCATCATAATTATCATCATTTTCATCACCATCCTCAACTTCATTTCCAGAGTTTACTTCGGCAGGCAGCCCCTCATGACCATCTACGACACGTCCATCTTGAAGCAGATCATGATCAAGGAGGCCCATCTCTTTCCTAATCATTTTGTTACTAATTGTTACAAATATTAATCATCAATATCATCGTTATTAAAGTAGTGGTAATAGTAGTAGGAGTAGTAGTATTAGTAGCAGTAGTAGTAGTAGTAGTAGTAGTATAGTAGTAGTAGTAGTAGTAGTAGTAGTAGTAGTAGTAGTAGTAGTAGTATTAGTAGTAGTAGTAGTAGTAGTAGTAGTAGTAGTATAGTAGTGTAGTAATAGTTGTTGTTGTTGTTGTTGTTGTAGTTGTTGTCATTGTTGTTGTTGTTTTAGTAGTAATAGTAGTAATAGTAGTATAGTAGTAGTATAGTAGTAGTAGTAGTAGTAGTAGTATTAGTAGTAGTAGTAGTAGTAATAGTAGTAGTAGTAGTTATCCATTCTGATTCGTTGATTGATTGTTGTTCATCCAACAATCAATGCCTGCTTTAAATTTGTTCATTGATTGTGTCTTAACAAGTTCATTTGGTAATGAGTTCCAAGTATTTGCCACTCTATTGAATAAGTAATTCTCTCTGCCTCTATGTCTCGTTAACTCTTTAAAATATTTTAAACTGTGACGTCGCGTTTTGGTTTTGATTATGCTAAAACGATTATTTAAATCAATTTTGCCCAAATTATGCATGATTTCAAACAACTGAATCAAATCTCCTCTTTTTTCTTCTTTCCACCAAAGTTGTTAATCATAATTTTTCAAAACGATCTTCGCAAGCTAGGTTTCTTATAAATGGAACCAACTTTGTTGCTCTGCGATGGACTCTTTCGATCACCTCGCTACCACCCTTTGGATCTGGGGACCAAACTGATACTGCAAACAATGGACAAATAAAAGTTAGGTATAAATAACAAAGCAGCTTATAATCAAATTCCCCAAAAGATTTTTTTATTCGATCAAGCATTTGGTTTGCTTGTTTGATGCTGTGATGACTTGATTTTTCCATTTTAAGTTATTTGAGTAAATCTCTCCAAGATCTCTCTCGGATTCAGATTTAGCAAGAAGTATCCCATTTATGTGCAGTGGACATTTTTTATTACCTGGTCCGTAGTGCATAACAGAGCATTTTTCAATATTGAACAGTAGAAGACAGTGGTGTTATTGAAGTTGTAGTTGTTGTTGTTTTAGTAGTAGTAGAAGTAGTAGTAGTAGTTGTTGTTGCTTTAGTAGTAGTAGTAGTGGCAGTGATATGATTGATCATCATCATGATCGGCATCGACAATGTCATCATCGAAACCAACATCACCAACGCCAACCCCGTGACCAGAACCTCCAATTATTTGCTCCACCTCTGGACAAAATTTTGTTCACGTTGACTGATGAACACTGGAAGCATGTGAGGAGTGTCGTCAGTCCCATCTTCAGTAGTGGCAAGATGAGGAAGGTTATGATGACGATGATGATGATGATGATAATGATGACGATGATGGTGGTGATGACGATGTTGATAACGATGATGATGATGGTGTTGATGATTACAACGACGACGGTGAAGATCACGATGATGATGACTGATGAAATGAGGGCGATGATGATAGATAATGATTATTGATGTTTTGCTGATGAAAAATGCAGATGATAGCAGCGGTTGTAAAGTAATTTTTCAAGAGTATTTTTTCCACTATAGATGACATTCAATTTTTGTTTTCAAGATGTCCGACAAGATAAACAAATGCTGCAAAACTTTTCACAAAAATTTGAAAGTTGAGGCGGATATGAGAAGAACTTTTGATTTCGACAGGTGAAATTATCTACATTTTTTTTTCTTCATTTTACTTCACAAGGATTTAAAAATAAACCAACGTCTGTTAGGGCGGCGTAATGGTCTAATGGTTAAGGTCGCTTGGTGTTGTTTCGCATTAACCGGCTTCGAATATGACAAAAAATCTCCGCCTATTACATGCTTCTTGTGTGATGCGCCGTTTAGCATGTACGATGTTTGTGCGTGTTTGTTGAGTTTTCTAAATTTTGGAAGAGAGTAATTGACCTTTAACCTTTAGTGTTTCTAGATAACCTTTTACTTTCCTACGAAACTTTCATAAAAATATTTCACTACTAAGAAGCTCGTAATCATCTTTGTCAGCATCCCCATGTTCACCACCATGTTCATCGTCACCACCTTTTCATCACGTGACCAGCGCATGTGACGCCTTCACAATGGACCTGATAGCCAGCGTGGGATTTGGAGTCTCCATCGACTCCCACAACAATCCCAACAACCTCTTCGTCAGGATGGCCAAGAAGGTTTTCCAGAACAAGTTAACGTTGGGAGTGGTTCTCTTGTGTCAGTGTTCATTTATTGTTCCGAAGCGTAGCCAAAGAGGGGGGGGGGTTGAGTATAAAGTTAAATTTAACAAAAAATTTATCTTAACGTTGGCTCAAGTTTGTTTCAGGACTCCGACATTCGAAGATATATTTTATTCACATCTTTTGGGTTAATAGACTCAAATGAACGACTGAAAATGAGATATCCGCTGCAATACAAAATATTTGATATTAAATAAAATACCCGCTGCAATAGCAAAATTGCGCTATATTATTTGTTATCTTGATTATTTGTTATCTTTGTTATCTTTGCTATATTTGTAAATTTTGGAATGTGAGAATATCTGGTGTATTAGCGAATGAATCGCGAGGTTTTAGTTGCGATGTTTGAAGTGTAGTTGTAATTGTGATTTATGTAGTTACTTGGATTAGTTTAGTGTTTCTATTACTGTTGGCATTCGAATAAATGTTTGACCACTTTTACGTTTTGAAATCTCGAGCCTACGGAATAAAAATAACTTGATCGTTGGAAACTACAACACTGTTGTTTGAAATATAGAGATTATTGAAGTTATAACATTGGGGTCTGTAGTGACGAGCGTCAAAGCTTACATACAGGAATATGATGAAATTTCGAAGTCACCATGCCTGGCCTACAACTCTAATGTTTGTCAAATTTTAAAAACAATCACTGTTTTTTTTATAATCGTGAATACAAACAAAAAAAAAACCAAAAAAATCGCCAACTTTTCTTTAAAATCTAACTGATCCTAAATTCAAGCCCCCCAAATGTCTGGCTACGCTATTGTATCAATTGTTTGTAATAATAATTTTATCAACTATCAAAAGAGTGTATCATATGAGTGTGTTAATAACTTTATCAACGAAGCAGTTGTTGCTGTAACATGGATGAGTAAAAAATTTGTCAAACAATTTACAATAGTGACAGTCATGAGATTTAGAACAAACTCAATTTCGGCGTTCACCACTCAGCACAAATTTCCCTAATCTCACCGTCAACTACATTATCACATGCACCACCAACCGACAAATACTGATATGCAAATTTTAATAAAAGTTTGGCACCGAGGATTTTGCTCTCTCTCTCTCTTTCTTTCTCTCTCTCTCTCTCTTTCTTTCTTTCTTTCTCTCTCTCTCTTTTTTTCTCTCTCTTTCTCTTTTTTCTCTCTCTTTCTCTTTTTTCTCTCTCTCTCTCTTTCTTTCTCTCTCTCTCTCTCTCTCTTTCTTTCTTTCTCTCTTTCTCTTTCTTTCTCTCTCTCTCTTTTTTTTCTCTCTCTCTCCCTTTCTTTCTCTCTCTCTCTTTCTTTCTTTCTCTCTCTCTCTTTCTCTCTCTCTCTCTTTCTATCTCTCTCTCTTTTTTTTTCTCTCTCTCTCTTTCTATTTCTTTTTTGGTTCAGGTCACTTCTCTCTAATTGTTCTACTGTTCTCAATTCTGTCTGGCTATTCATATCGCACTTTCAGCTTTTTATGCCAATCATTTTTATTACCATCTTTGTCATCATAATCATCAGTGTCAACAACATCATCATCGTCACAATGATCACAATTATCACTCTTCAAAAGTTTCAGCACCATGGTTGTTGAAACCTCTCACTCGTCTTGGCGTTCCATTGTTCGAGAATGATTTCATCCAATTCTTCACTGACGTCATCAACAGAACCATCAAAGAGAAAGATGATGATGCTGATGATAATGTGGGTAAATAAGTAATCACACAATTAATAACAGTAGGGCTGACGATCTTAATGTTGTGGTTTTTGTTGTTGTTGTGACTGTAGTTGATGTTGTTTTAGTTGTTGAAGTTATAATTGATGTTGTTGTGATTGTAGCTGAAATTGTTGTAGCTGATGGCGACCCAACAGATGAGTAACCGAGATAAACGTCATAACCATTTACGATTATGGTACTGCTTTAATCATATATGTTATCACTATTAACACCAACGATTTTCTAATTGGTTTTAATAAATTGGATAATAATTACAAAATTACTGTTAGAAATATTGAAAAGATCAATCGTAAACTTTCAAAAGATAAAACTTCGGTGGATTTTATCAAATATTGCATCAATTATGGACTTTTTCCACCTTCAGATAAAGCTGAAAAGATAACAGGATCAGATAAGAAAAAAGTGATGGTAATAGTCACGATATGATGATAATGATGATGGTAAGGTCTATAAAAACAACGTTAATTATGTCTTCTTCTTTACTCGTGCCTTATTCTTTCAGGACATTGGCGACTATTGACCTACACAAAACCCGATCTTTAACACTTTTTAGTAGTTGAAATTTGGTGATATTCAACAAGTGACACAAGAACTTTACGTATATGCTTTTTTTGCAATCTTTCCAGTAGTTGTTAGATTTTCCATCATTCCCTTCTGCTTTATGTGGCCAAAAAACGCTAACTGCCCCCGAATTTTTTCATAACCGGACTGTTTTAATACATTCTCATTCGAAGTATGAAAGGATCAACTAATTTTCATAATTCTTCTCTAAAACCACATCTCAGCAGCGTCATTCTTTTTTTCATTTCTTTAGAAATTGTCCAGGACTTAGAACCGTAGTTAGCACAGGAAAAATGTAACACCCTAACAGTTTTAATTTGGTTGATATTCTGATTTTACTGTTTGTGAGGATGTTTTTCATTTTAGAATATGCATTTTCTGCCATAGCTATCTTTCTGTTGATATCCACATCACATTTACAACCTGAGGTAATCAGACTTCCGAGATAATTGAAGCTGTTGACATTTTTTCACCTGTTGATTATGGAGCAGATCGGGGCGGTTTTGCTTTTACTGGTAACCATACACTCTGTTTTGTTGATGTCAATTTGTACGCCTTTACTTTCATTTTCAAAAACCAGTTTGGAAACAACTGTTTGCAGTTTTTCTATTGAATTTGCTATAAGAGCTGTATCATCAGCCTATCTTACATTGATAATATTAACGCCTCCAATGGATATTCGATCTTTCTCATGATGATCTTACTATAGAGATTGTACATGTCTGGAGAGAATACACAACCTTGCCTAACACTTTTCTTTATTTCGACAAAACTAGCCATCTTGTTACTAACTTTCATCGCTGCTCTTTGTTCCCAGTAGAGGTTTTTGATAACTCTTGTGTCTTTTTCATCAATGTTCAAATTTTTCAATATTTCCATAAGCTCCACGTGTTTCACGCTATAAAAGGCTTTGGAGTAATCGACAAAACATATAAACAAGTTTTTCTTCATTTCAATCGCTTGTTCAATGATTATTCGTTGCATAAAGATAGCGTTTCTTTTGCCACAATTCTCTACAAAACAACATTGGACATTAATGATGACAAGAATATAAATAATGATGATGAACAGTTTTGTGATAACAACGACAATCGTTAAATAATAATGATGATGATAATAATGGTGAGGATGATAATGGTGAGGTTAATATGTGAAGAGAAAAATGAGATGGTGACGACGGCGATGATTACAAATATACGGATAACGATGAGACCTATGATGACGACGATGCTGATGATGGTTGTGACGATCATGGTGGTGATGTCTAACAATCTCCATTGTGCAGAAGGAACTGGACTTTCTGCAGACGTTGATAAATGCCCACCAAGCAAGTGCTGATGGTGATAATCTTAGAGGAAATAGTGATAAAAAGAAGAACGACATTGAGTACAAGTTTGAAAAAGGTGAAAAATGGAGTTATACGTCGGCCAATCATTCCTCAATTCGAAAAAGTTTGAATCATCATCCACATCTCGTCATCGTCATCATCATATTCATCATCATTATTACTACAATGACCATTCTCAAAATTTTCATCCCCGCCATCACTACAAAAGCACCACCATTATTTTCACCATAATCCTTATCGTCACAAACAATCCTCACAGGTTTTTCTGAAGAAGACTTGTTGGCTCAGAGCTTATCATTTTTCCTGGTTGGTTTTGAGACGGTGTCCGTAACACTCTCCTACCTGTGTTACAACTTGGCCTGCTACCAAGAACATCAAGAGAGACTGTTCAAAGAGATCGTCCAGATTATTGGGAAAGAGGTTTGAAAATATTTAGAGTACGAATAAAACAATTTAGTTTTTTGGATTAAAATTAATTTAATTTAATTTTCGGTTCTGTTTTTGATCTAACCTCTTAAAATAATTAACTTATAAAATAACAAATAATCTGTCATTGAGATGGCTGTTTGTTAAATCAGATATATAATTCAATCAATCAATCAATCAATCAATCATAATTCATTTAACTGCTTGATATTGTGTTGCAGTGATCGAGTTTGAATGAAATGAGATCTCCTTTAAATTAAATGGCGCTATACAGATTATAGAGATTAATTGATTAAACCATTTCTAAATGAAACAATTAACAGATTAACCATTTAATCATTTAACCAATAAATTATTCAACCAATGAATTCTTCAATCCACCAATCAACAAATCAAGAATCCGACATACGATTCAATCAAACAACTAACCTACCTGGACATGTGCCTCAATGAAACTCTCAGAATGTTTCCTTTTGCCACCAGGTCAGATGATCGAATTAATTATTAAATGAATTAAGGAACAAATATGCAAAAAATTGAACAAATAAATAAATTAAAAACAATCAAAACATGATGCACAGGACAGACAGGGTTGCCTCGCAAGATGTCACCATCAACGGATTGTTCATTCCAAAAGGTTCCTTTGTTCATAACAAATTTTTCTTATCCACTATTCACTATTATTCTAATCACTGATCCTAATTTTCATTATGATAATTATCATAAACATCATCAAAGGCATGGCTGTAGGTATTCCCATTCATTTCCTGCAAAATGATCCGGACTACTGGCCCGATCCTCACGTATTCAATCCGGAACGGTAAGCATATGATCGCAACAACCATTATTTTATTTGTTATCTTAATTAGAATTAAGAAGGAATTGAAATTTGTTACCAAGTCTCTCCCGATTTTTTGGTTCATTCCTGACTTTTCCGAATGTTTCATAAAATCCTCATTTCTGCTTCTTTCGTTGTTTCCTCTTTTTTTTGTTTAATGAATTTGCGTTTAAAAACTGAAAAACTTTTCTGATTGTACCTTGTTTCATGTTTGCCGGTTCAACTGCACGATAGACATGTCCTTTCTACTTCAGCCCATTTGAGACATAAACACACTACGTATTTACAACAGTTACAACAACTTTTGCTTTACTTATTTTTATAGGAACTAGAATCCTGAAAATCCCAAATTTTCTATCTCCATGCGCACCTATTATCTCAATCCCTACTTTAAGTGTATCATCACCTTCGTTATTTTAATCATCATCCTCACCATCCTGATGAGATCTCCATTTTCCCCACCACCTACCGACAGATTCTCAGAAGATAATTGGAAGGTCAGCATTGTGGACCCCATGCGTTTCATGCCCTTCGGAGCTGGTCCGAGGAACTGTGTGGGCATGAGACTGGCCAAGATGGAAGTCAAGATGGCCGTTGTCCATCTCATCAGGAACTTCCGGTTTGATGTTTCTGAGAAAACTGACGTAAGTTGCGTTGTTGTTGTAGATGATGGTGGTGGTGGTGGTGATGATGATGATGATGAAAATAATAGTCTGTTATGTTGATAATGTTGATGATGAATATGATGGTAAATTGATGTTAAAGTGTTGATGAAGACGATAATTGCGGGGATGATGGTGATTATGGTGATAGTGTTGATGATAATAATTACTATAACTAATTATGATGGTCATCATAAAATATTGTTGTTGTTGGTGCTGCTGCTGCTGTTGTTGTTGTCGTTGGTGTATTTGTTGTTGATGATGATGAATGCAGTTGAATGAAGAGTAAGCGCTGTGGTGCAATGGCTAAGATGTCTGGCACTGGCCTTGCCCTTGCAATAATTGGCATCGAATGCAGAGAAATTTCCACTAATCACGTACAATGTTTGCGATGCGTTGACCTACGCGTGTCTGTCTACATACGCTGGGTGAGTTGTAGAAAGAAAGGTTAAAGGTCAATTACACTCTTCCTAGTTTTAGAGGATTCAACAACACGCCACAAACATCGTATATGAGTACATGCTAAACGACGCATCACACAAGAAGCATGTGATAGGCGGGAATCTTTTGGTCACATTCGAACCCGGTTACTGCGAAACAGCACCAGGCGACCTTAACCACTAGGCCATCGCGCAATAAATGATACGTTGCAGCAGTGTTGCTAATAATGACGATAACAGGCTGTTAAAGATAAATGAATGATATTTTAGATTATTGAAATATTATGCTTCTTAAAAACGAACTTCAATAACAAATTCAGATTCCGCCAGTTTTTGAAAGGTTTTCCATAAAGAATTTAAACGGTATCAAGTTGAGAGTTGAAGAGAGATGAGGTGTAATTTTCATCAGCATCATCATTTTCATCATCATTATTATTCTAAAAACATCAAAAATATTGCATCAACATCATCAGTGTCAACCTCCTTTCTATGTTACTCTCATTGCACTCTTACCTTTATAATCACAACAATTTTTAAATCACATACAACATTTCAGATGCTGATAATTATTTGAAACATAATTAAATGTTTTTTTTTTGGTTTTTCGATGATGTATACTTTATAATTGAATGAACACACGCAAATTCCACTGAAATTTTTCTGACGAGTGGTTCGCAGTTTGCGTAGAATGCAATAGTAGTGGCGATGCCTGATCAAATTGATCGTATTCAATGAAACCAGAGAAAAATATTTTAGATTATAGAGTCTTCAGACTCTATTGACAAGTTTAATTATTTGATTACTGGATTGAAACTCAGCAAACATTTGAAAACCAATTGATCGGACGGCAATGCTCATTTGTGTGTACAAATAATTAAGTGCATGGCAGATATTGTTATTATTGTTTGGCTTTTTTTATTATTAACTTTGTTTAAAATAAAATTTTCAACTCATCATTTGACGTATTTTGTAAAGAATATCTGGCTAGTTACTTCATCCGACAACATCTGGCGTTGTAGTCATCGCGTGTCCGCTAGGTTCAAATGCCGACCGTCCAAAACTCAAAATCATGAGAGACTCGTGATGGTGTTTTTGGAGGCAATTGCATGCCAACGTTGGGCGAATATTTAAGGCTTTGATTTTTGTGCCATCCATTGTACAATGTCTCCTGCATTATCAACGAGCTTCTGTGAAAGTAAAGATAGAAAATAAGCTGTCAAACCTCAAGTAATTTGGGGTGATGTCAAATTCTTTTATTGATGATATTTGCATTTCATTGACCTTCACCTTCATATGACACCCATGAAAGTGAAACTGAATTGCAACCGATAGCAATCGATGTTTTATGAAATAATGAAATTATTATGCTGATATGAATGGTATCTAGTCTTCATCGTCATACAACAAATGAAACGATGATGGTGATGATGACTGCTACTTTTTTCATTTAATATTACTGATTCTTGTCTATCTTGGTTTTCTTCTTATCTCTATAATCGTTTTTCTTCTGTTGTTTTCAATAATTCTACTTCTAACTCTTCTACTCTTACTTTCGGGGTACCTCAGGGTTCTATCCTTGGTCCTCTTCTATTTATACTCTATACTTCTGAAATACCTTGTATTATTAATAACTTTTCTTTTTCTAGTCAACTATATGCTGATGATTCTTACATTTATACTTCTTTTCCTCCATCTTATCTCAATAGTGTTCCTCATAATCTATCTCTATGTCTTTCTTCAATTATTGCTTGGTCTGACTCTATGTGTCTTAAACTTAATCTTTCTAAGTTTGAATTAATTTGTTTTAATAAATCTAAACACTCTATTACTATTCCTCTTATTATCTTACCTGATTCTGAAACTCTTGATGTCTCTCATAAGTTTCGTAATCTAAGTTTTATCTTTGATTCTATCATGACCCTTTCTTCTCAGATTAATAGTGTCGCTAAAAGTCTCAATCTAAATGATTTTCTAAGTATTTATCAGGTATATCTACGTAAAATGAAAAAACTTTTGCCTTTTCTTGATGATCCTACTCTTTTCCTTCTTATTACTTTGTTAGTCTTATCTAGGATTGATTATTGTAACTCGCTCTACCATGGTCTTCCTGATTTTATACTCTATCCTTTAACTCTGCTGATCGTCTAGTTGGTCGTGCCTCTTTCTTTTCTCATATATCTCCATATCTTGTTCTCTTGCACTGGCTTTCCATAAAATATAAAATAATCTTTAAAATTTGCACGTTTATGTATAAGTCTCAATCTAAATTATTTTCTAAGTATTTATCAGATATATTAATTGAACCTAAACGGTTTACGATCGCCTTTTTGTTCTCGTTTCTTCTTAACTCGTGTTAAACACTCTTTTGCCAAATTTGCTTTTGCTTTTTCTGGCCCTTCTCTCTGGAACTTTCTACCTACTTCTCTGACTTCTTCTCCACCACTTATTTACAAAGTTCAAAGCGGATCTCAAGACCCATCTGTTTTCAAAATTCATTGAGGAGCGCTGTTGAACATCGCAGAAATAGCGCTTTACAAACTGATTGATTGATTGATTGATTGATTGATGTCATGATAATGATTAAAATGATAACGACGATGATGATGATGACATCTTCATTTTCGCTCCACTCTCATATATATATATAAAGATATATATATATATATATATATATCTTTATATATATATGAATGTGCGCGGGTATGAATGAAAGGTTTGAAAATACGTTAGAGCAGTTTGAGAGCTACGAACAAACGAAGAGTGCTGCTGCTGATGATGATGTTATGATAATGGTGATGATGATGATGTTGTGATAATGGTGATGATGATGATGTTGTGATAATGGTGATGATGATGATGTTGTGATTAGATAATGATGATGATGATGATGCTGCTGCTGCTGATGATGATGATGATGATGATGTTATTATGATAATTGTGATGATGACGTTACTGTGATAATGATGGTGATGATGATGTTAGTGTGATAATAATGATGATGACGGTGATGATGGTGATGATGATGATGTCATCACCTCTCCGGATTGAATACGTGAGGATCGTGCCTGTAATCCTGATCATTGTGCAGAACATGGATGGGAATCCCGATCAGCATTCCTGAATAATAATTATAATATTAATAATAATTAATGTAATTTATTAATAAAATTATTAATTACTAATACATAGAAAGGCACCGAATAGTGAATTTGGCCGTCTTCAAAATATTTAACTGCGTACAATATCACAAAACTTTCATGGCACATTGGTTGTTCTTTCCACACCACATCACGTACATACACGTTTTGTAGGCGCGCACAAGCATCATACAAGTATGGCATACGAAAAGACTTTGAGTTTGTGACAGACAGTATTCGAACCAGACCATCGCGTAAGAACAGCGCCAGACATGGCAGTGACTTTTACCATCTAAGCTTACTCACTCACTGTCTGTATGTCACTCAGACTCCAAATAAAATTTGCGATTAGAAAGAATACGATGGGCAATTTTAATTTGAAAATTCGTGGTCGTTATTGACGAAGCCATCCCTGATGATTATATTAAGTTTTGGGGCAGATCCTACCATTAACTTGTGAATTGAGAAACTAAACTATATCACTTGATCTGAGTAAAACATGTAAAACATTCTGAGTGCCCTATATGATGTTCGCTTGTCGAGTAGGCCATTCTCATTCATGTCAGCGAGTTAGCCAGCACTGACGATCACTCTCCGTTCTTTAGTAAGCATCAAACGGATATTCGACAGGTAAAAATTATATCGTAACGAAGATAAATTCTTATTCTTATTCGCTTTGTTAAATTCGAAATGGCGGAAGTTCAAACTCCGAGAGTTAATGTGGAATATTGGTTAATAATTTATTTTTGTGATTATTTAATGTAATTTACAAAGTGTATAGTATACAAAACATCTATCTGCTTCCTCCATGATGGGTCTTTCTTACTATCTTACTTTTTCGCAGTACCTACCATTGCTCAGTTTTATTTGTTATTGAATTGGTTTTATGTTTATTTTAGTAACGATAAATATATGGATATAATATCGAGATATATATTATTTTATCCATACTGATAGCATATTTTTGATTCTATTCTAATTCTATGTTTATGATACCATAGCATGCCTAATCTGACTACCCCTGTTTCAAAGTTTAATTAAAATTAAACCATGACAAAACTTTATATCATTGTAAATATAAATGCAATATATGTCCATATGTCCAATGATCATGATAATGAATGATGTTGTGTCACTGTTATAAGATGGCTGAAAAACATTTGATTTTAATTGTTGTAATGTAATTGTAATGTAAGATTAACATTACAATAATTGAATAATTTAGTTTTTTTTACATCAAGTTGATTTTCTAGAATCAGCCCAAAAAATGCTGACTGATCTGTAACTCAAAAGTCTCAAATTTTGAAACTTTTCTAGTCTACATTTCCTACAGCTATCTCTACTTTTATTTTACTGTAATGTAGTGAGATGCAATGTAATAAATATATTACTACATAATTAATGTTAGTATTTGAGTAGTATTGGTAATTCACAATTTAAATCAACTTACAGTTTTAATTATGATTGATTTGCAAAGACTGGTTTCAATTTTTACAAAGTTTTTTAAATTCACTCATAATGATGGCATTTAAAACTATTTGTTTGTTTTGTTTGTCACTAAACTGATTATATTAAAATTTTAGCTCTGGATGAGGGTACGAGCCTCGCTTCAACAGTTTGAAGCAAAAAATTCTCGAAGTGGTCCCGAATGCAAATGTGGAGGGAAAGAAGGGGCGTTTGGGTAAGTATCGCCCATGTATGTGTATGTATGTTATATCTCGTATTTGAGTATCTTATTATGTAACTATTATTTTGTTATAAAAGATATCTTGAACTATAAGTATCATCTTGTTGTGTTTGTATCGCATGTGTATCATCTTATTATTCATGTTATGTTAGTATCATCTTATCATGCATGTGTCATCTTGTTACGAAGGTGTCATCTGGTTATATTAGTATCATCTTGTTGTGTCAGTATTATCTCGTTATGTTGGTATCATCTTTGTATCATTTTTTTATGTTTGTATCATCTTGGTATCATTTTGTTATGTTTGTATCATCTTGTTATGTCTCTTTCTCAGATTACTCATTCAGTTATTAAATTTAATAACGATCCTTTAAATTCTATTGAAGGTTCATTTGAAGTCACACTGAATGATCAGTTGATATTCAGCAAGTTGAAATCTCGTGGCTTCCCTGTTTTTGAGAGTGTTAGACATTTTATATTCTTAATTTTTTCAACCCACTTGTAAGTGTCATTTGTCCTTCTGAAAACATTGGCATCTAACATACAGGCTATATATATACTGAATGATGCATTACTTATTTTTGCAATGTTTTTCCATCTGCTGTACGTTATTTCCATTTGGAGGCAATAATATTCTAGTGGCAGATGTTACTAAATGATGTAATAATATTTGCAAGTTTTGTTGAAAGAATCAAGCGAGGCCATCTGTTACTTATTGATGCAATATTTCAATGATTGAAGATGAAATTTCACAAACTGAGGAACTGCACAAATATTCAGGAGCATGCGTTCATCACTCTTCATTAGGGATTTCACTGTTGATTGTTGTGGTGGTTGATTTTGTCTTCATTACTTGACCTTTGCCCTTATTGTTCCAATTTTTAAACATCTATCTCTACTTATCGATTTCCAGTTTAATTCTATAGCTGTTCATATGTTAGTGAAAAACTCCAAATGTTTCTACATTGATTTATGTGCTAACTAACATTAAAGCAACTATACAAATTCACCCAACCCTTGGTTATCGAATGTGGGTGTCTCAAACATTATGAAATGTTCACAATGGTCTCACGTTATCAATAGACCCCTTCAAATCACTCATTCATTCATTCATTCATTCATTCATTCATTCATTCATTCATTCATTCATTCATTCGTTCATTCATTCATTCATTCGTTCATTCATTCATTCGTTCGTTCGTTCATTCAACCAGGTGGTGAAGGTCGTGGATGGCGTGGCACATGGAGGGCAACCGGAATGTGTTCAGGACATTCAGGCTTCCTCCTGTTCTATTTTCTAATTAATTTTCATCTGATTGGGTTGGTTGATGTTTTAAAGGTGGTTTCAATTCGTTTATTTTCAAGTCAGATGTTTTAATTGAATTTCGATTCTTCTTTTTAATATGTTTTAATTTGTTTTTATTATTTTTGTAATTTTGTTTTCAGGTGTAGGTTGAATATGTCTGACTTTTTTGTAAGGATTGATAATGTTTTACTATTTCAGATTTCTTTCGAAGGCAGATTAAAGATGTAGTTGCATGTGGGTGAGGCACCTCTTATGACTGTTTGCATTAAAACTGCAGGGTGCAAGCATGATGACCTCTGCTGCCTCATCTTCATCATCCGCTTTTCTCTGCTCTTCTGAAATTATTCCAATCTACTGAAATATTCTGAAAGTACTCCTTAAGTAGTCCCTTGCAAATGCTTCATAGTTCCAATTTTGATATATTATTTCATTCAAGTTTTTGACCTGTTCACATTTTATGATTTCCTGGCTCAAAACTTTGCTTTTTAGTCTGTTTTCTATGGTTATGTATCAAACTTTAACTTACCTGCACTGCATTTTGAATTCGTAAACTTCTTCCATAAGATGTTTGATGTCTGTTGTCACTGATCTAGTTAACGAGTGAATGAATGAATTAATTATGTAGTTAATTGATTAATACAATAATTGATAAGAGATCAAAATTGGCACTACTCGTAACGTGTGAAATCGTTAATAATAATAATAATATTAATGCGTGTGTGTGCATGCGTGTGTGTGTGTTCATTTGTTGCTGTCGAAATCTGCCAGTCAGTTGCTGTATTCGCAATGTTGAATGAAATGTTGAGTTGATGAATGAATTTATTTCGATTTATTTCTTACCATGATGCAATGATTGATCTTGGAACACTCGCATTGCGTGCTACATTCGAGTTTGATTTCAAGTTCACAAAAATTATGTTTTGATAATTCTGACGTGATATTTGTTTAATTTTTACGAACAAGCAATTAAACATCCTCCTTCCACTGCTTGCCGCGTCGTTATATTCAGGCTTGTTTTTATGCTTTTGAAGTTGGACTGCTTATAAAAATAACAACTGAAAATATACTTCCATGTCGTCGTTGCGATCCGTCGGGGTCACCTATGCACGGTGTTAAGTGTTCTATTGTAAAAAGATCAGGATGTCAATGTTGGGGGCGGCCGTGCACGTATGATGACGTCGGTCAGTGTGGCGGGGTGGTTGACGCTGTTTCAACGCATTCAAGTCTAACAAAACTAACAATGTGGACTATTGTAATTAATTATGCAAAAACTTGCAGAATAATCAAAAACTAACATGTAAATGAATTTCCGAAAACTTAATTAAATTAAACACAGTTTCAATGTGAGCAGGCGTTTGAAAGTGTAACGTAGTGAGGCTGAGAAACCACCGGCCACCCTCACCTCAATGAGTCCCTCGTCGTCTTCATTGAATTGATGCCGTGCACCACGTGTCAACCTGACTGCTTCCTTATACCACTTCCAACAAAATACTTTTATCTTTAAATTAAACGAAATTTTTGCAACTGTGAGAGGACAAGCGGCCACACATTTTCATCACGGTCGTCATCGTTGCGAATCATTATTTAAAGAGTTTCGTGTATCAATATTATAATCTATTTTTAACGTTTACAAATTTTTATCAACGACAAAATGTTTTGCACGAAATTTTTGTCGAATGCAGTTGCGATGTGGTAGAAAATAAGATTTATTTTATTTGTTCATATGGCGGTCTCTCCCTTACAACCGACAAATTTAATCCCTCCATCTTTGATAGCTGTGTGAAGTTTATATGATGTTCCAACAATTATAACTAATAACAGTTCTAAATGGTCACAGTTCTTCCAGTCGCCAAAAGATACTGAGAATTATATATTTTTTGTAAACTATAAATAACCTACTAGCTCTGACGAACGCAAAACCGGTTACAAATTGCTCTTTGCTTAGTTAGAAATAAAACTTTGGTGTCAGGAAGACTGCACTAAAGTTTACACGCACGCACACTTTACCGCGCAGAAATCATAGCAATCCCGAATCCTCGAGCTCCCTCCAAGACAGTAATTAAACATACAGTAAATATGCACATTTGTGACGGTTACGCTGCGTTCATTTTTTGCGAACTTTTCGATCGTTATAGAACTGAGACACGTCAGACAGAGAAATATTTCGTCTGCACCGTCGTTATGAAATAATTTTTACTAATTACCTGATAACACTCACATCAGCGTACCGCATTTCTACGCACGACTTGTCGGCGTGGCTCACACCACCAACGGGACTCGTCGGATTTGTTGTTTGTAAAAATTTTATTGCCATCCAACAATTTCACGGGAACGATATTGAATACGTTCGCAAGTTTTTCACTTTTAAACAATTCACTAAATAAACGAAAGCAACGAGTGATGATAAACGAAATCAATTAAAGATTATAGATAGTAGTACGGTTGCAAAAATATTCATGAGCTATTTATTTTCCAAGTCGTTGACTTGTACATTTTGGTTTGGTTGATCTTTTTCGCTGTTGTGGTCTGCGGTGTTGATGTCTTTGTTGATGTAGTTTTTGTTGTTGTTGTTGTTGGTGTTGGTGTCATTGGAGTTGTTGTTGTTGGTGTCATTGGAGTTGTTAATGTTCATGACGTGATCATCATCTTCATTTTTGTTCTTCCCACTGTCAGCATTGATGTTCAAGTGAGTCCTGCATGATTTCAGTGACCTGTTCCTCCTCAGGCAGTTACTGCCGAAGAGCACCCGCCGACACTTACGATGGTAATTTTTCTGCTGCTGTTGCAGCAGCAGCTGCTGCTGCTTGCGTTGTTGTTTCAAATGTTGACGTTTTTGTCTAGCGTAAGAAAACGATGTCGTGTTGTTGTTGATGTGCCTGTTGATGTTGCTGCTGTCGTCCTTCTGCAGGCTGTCGATGTGGAAACTGACTTTCTTCTTTCCGGTCATGTTGCTGCTGCGTTCTTCGTTGTTGTTGTTGTATATAGATAACATGATGCTGTCGTAGTTGTTGTTATTGCTGTTGTTGTTGTTGTTGTTACTGCTGTTGTTAGTGTTGTTGTTGTTGCTGTTCGCTTCGTTGTTCAAATTACTCAACCGATTTGAAGAATTTTTAAGAGAAGACGCTTGCGGAGTGGCGCCGATGTTGGGGACAGCGTGCAACTTGTTGTTGCTGCTGTGTTGTTGCAGTTTGATATTCTTATCATAGATGTTGTTGGTTACATTTTTATTGCTGAAATTACTGAAACGTTTGTTGGGATTGTTGTTGCTGTTGTTGACGAGGTTGTTGCTGTTGTTGTTGTTGTTACAACCGTGGTTGTTGTTGTTGACACGAGTTCTAAGGACCCGGTGTTTCCTGTTTAGGAAACTAGATGTCATCTGGCGCATGTGTTGTGAGTGTTGCAGGTGGGTGCTGTGGTTGTCGCGCCACCTCTCGAAATGTTTCCTCAGCACTTTACGAACCTTACAAAAAATTACAAAAATCATTTGGCCGTTTGAATACGTTTCATCATGGCGCTGATACAAATACAAGCTTCACCGCAGTGGCCACCAAGCACATTTTGTCACATTTCCATTTACACCGATTTTTAAATTAAAAAAATGCTATTTTAACTTTTAATTTTAAAAATTCACATAACGATGAGTTTCGAATTTAGGATTTCAAATCATCTTACACGAGTTGTCACTTATGGGGCTCATCTCATAGCGACTGTTATTATTTCACAGATCTTACATTGCTACAAACAGTTCACAGATTTGTATTCGCCTGCATGATAACAGCATCAGCAGCAGTTTTTTATTTCACAGGTTTGTGAACAATGACGACAAATGAATGGCGATTTTATTTGGATTAAACTGAAAATAGAGTCGACAAACACTTCACAATTAAGATGCCAAACATATTGCCGTTCCAAGTCTACGTGTTGAAAGAAAGGAACAAACAAACAGAGTAGAAGCCACACACAGTTTAATTCATGTAAATTTTGTAAATTAAATCATGTAAAATAAAAAATAAATCATGTAAAATAAATGTAAAATAAAAAATTTTCAGACCAAACACCTAAACAGAACATGTCCAAAATTTGTAGTTTAAAAACTTTTTGTTGAATATATTTGTGAATTATTAGGAATGAATTCTAAAATGAATCAATCGAACCGAACAATTTGTAGTTTATCTTTCGTTCTCTGATATGAAGTTGTCAGCGGCACAAAATGAGATTTGAAATTTTTTGGAGCAAATCTCGCAATGCAATTTAAAATCGATCTTCAGTCTGTCGATACTTCGTAACAAAAAGTAAAAAGGAACATTTCTAATAACAAACTGCGAACGCTGTTACGCAGGTTAATGAAAAAAAATATAAATATTTATTTATATATAATTATAATATATATAATATAATTTTTATATTTATTGTATAAATAAAAATATCATGAGTGAATGAATGATTGAATTAATGAATGAATGAATGGGTGAATGAATGAATGAATGAATGTATGAATGTATGAATGAATGAATGAATGTATGAATGAATGAATGAATGAATGTATGAATGAATGAATGAATGAATGTATGAATGAATGTATGAATGAATGAATGAATGAATGAATGAATGTATGAATGAATGAATGAATGTATGAATGAATGAATGAATGAATGTATGAATGAATGAATGAACGAATGTATGAATGAATGAATGAATGAATGAATGAATGAATGTATGAATGAATGAATGAATGAATGTATGAATGAATGAATGAATGAATAAATGTATGAATGAATGAATGAATGAATGAATGAATGAATGAATGTATGAATGAATGAATGAATGAATGAATGAATGAAAAAAAAACAAATAGAAAATGAATGAATGGATGATAGATTGAAAAGAAGAAATAAATACTCACACGATCAATTCAAATGCAAATAATATGTGAATGATTGAATATAAGATAGATTGAGCGTGCAAATGCATGCATGGATGACAAAAATTGATTAATGGGCAATGGCTATGGTGCAGCACTACTACTACTTGCTCTCTCATTTCCAAATGATCGAGTGAATGAAGGGGAGAAGCAAACGAGCGCAATTAATTATGCAAATAAATACTTTGAAAAACAAGCGGATTCAAACGAAATTTTTAAATTAATTAATTAAAAATTAGTAGTTCGGAGAGTTGAGTTTAAATCTGAAAAATGATGGAAGTACAGGATGGCCAATTGATCGCGGTTCTCTTTAATCTTCTTCATCCATTTGCATCAGTTAAAATTAATGACAATCTTTGATATATATCTTTCATTTGATCTCCTCAAGTTTTTATTTTGTTAAACAATTCAGCAGAATCTTAAATTGAGTATCCTATAAATATTCTCGCAAGAAAGAAAATATTTATAGAATTCAATCTCGTGGATGGACGCAAAAACGTTGAGATAGGATATGTATATATACATATTTGTTAAATGTTAATCATGTCGTATGTATGCACGCACACACACACACACACACACACACACACACACACTCCTTCCCAGTAGTTCTCGGAGGATGATCCACGAAACTCTTAAACATTTAGTAAAAAAAACAGTTGACAACATATTGTCGTAACCCTTGATTTTCGTAACTACCAACACCGATGTTATAACTTCAATGATCTCTATACTTCCAACACCGTGTTGTAGCTTCCAACGATCGTCAAGTGTTCGTTATTCCGTAGGTTCATGATTTCCGATAGATGAACACAACTGCTTCAAATGCAAACTTTGTTGAAGGTTTATTTGAATGCCAACAGTAATTGAAAACATCAAACTAATCTATGTAACAACATCAATCACATTTGCCACTTCGCTTCAAACCTCGCTGAAAAAATGACTGGAAACCTCTGTCTCAGCAGAGTTCTACATACCTAGGCTTCTTTTTGCGATCGTTCACAATCCAAAGATTACAAATATAGCAAAAATAGCAATAATTGAAATAACAAATAATAATTTGATCATTCGAATGATATAATAATAATAATATTGTCCAGCAGTTATAATAATATCACAATGGCTAAATCAGCATTCCAAACAAAATTACTCATACATGCATGTAAAATAAATCAAAAACTACCAAAACTATTAAAAAAAAATAAAATAACTAGAAACCAGTCAGCGACATTCAATAACAAAATAAATCAAGAAAAAGACATTTATATTGTTAATGCAACAAACAAACACACACACACACACACAAACAAAACAAACAAACACACAAACAAATGCTGCACATTCGTAACAAACAAAATCCAACGAAACTTGATTGCCTATTGATTCTGTTGATACTCCATTCGTTTATTCATTCATTCATTCATTCATTCATTCATTCATTCATTCATTCATTCATTCATTCATTCATTCATTCATTCATTCATTCATTCATTCATTCATTCATTCATTCATTCATTCATTCATTCATTCATTCATTCACTCACTCATTCTTTACTCATTCACTCATTTTTTTCGTTCATTCGTTCATACTTGTTCACGCTTTTTATAAATATTTCATTTTCATTTACTGTCCATTCCGAATTTTATGTGGTGTAGGATGTGGGGAGTGAGTATGATGGAAGTATGATGAGGATTTGTAGCACGCAACTCGAAAGTTATTTAATTTCGTTGTTGTGTGTTGTAGTTTTCTGTGCTGTTGTTGTTTGGTGATGTGCACTGTTGAAGACGACTTCAAAAGTGTTAACGAATGTGAAGGCAATGAGACGAACAATGAAAAGTGCAACGCGTCTGATGAATCCTGAGAAAGCTGAGCGAGATGATTTTATTTGCACCTTGCAGCACAACATGCTCGGTCGTCTCCAATTTTCCATCTTCTCAAGATGAATCCACTTTTTAGAAGCAACAAGAAGAAGCGTTTCAGATCGCTTTTTTTATTTAAAAAGTTACTCTGGTCGACCAGATGACAACTTTTTGTGAGATTTCTCGCTAATGAATGTTCTACTTGCAGGATGCCTTCGTCTCTGGAGAAATTATTTTGCAACCATTGGTTAGCTTTCATATGATTGTATGGAATCTAACAAAATGTGCATGTGAACAAGTGGAAGCCTTTTAGCGAGTCGACGATGATGATAATGATGATGACTGTGCTGCTGATGATGATAAATGTGCTGATGATGATAATGATGACGACTGTGCTGATGACGATGATGATGACTGTGCTGCTGCTGATGATAACTGTGCTGATGATGATGACGATGATGACAATGCTGATGATAGCGTTGACGATGATGATGCCAATAAAGAAGCAGTGATGATGATGAACGTTTGAAAGCGAATGTAGATAATTATTTTCCAGATGGAGTCTCTTTCGAAAATTTTTTGCCGACAAAAATGAAGCAATTGGAGTAATTAATTGTTTTTCCAGCTATTTCCATTTCTTAATCTATTTCTTTTGCCATCCCCGCCAATTCTAATTCGTTCTTACCACTATTAATATAACACCAATACTACCACTACTGCTACTACTACTACTACTACTACTTCTACTACTACTACAACTACTGCTACTACTACTGCTGCTACTACTACTATTACTACTACAACTACTGCTACTACTACTGCTGCTACTACTACTACTGCTACTACTACTACTGCTACTGCTGCTACTACTACTACTACTATTACTACTACTACTGCTGCTACTACTGCTACTACTACGACTACTACAACAGTCTGGTGGCCACTCACAGATCAGTCGCCAGTGCAAAGACCTTACAAATGGATTTACAAATGGCGGACCGCTGATGATGATGATGATGATATCGATTTCGTCAATAAGAAAAAAAATATGATGATCATTGAATGAATGCACTTCAGGTGACGATAACAACGATAATAATAGTGATGACTTCATTGACAATGATGATGTCATCAGTGGTGAGAAAACCATGTGGCGGAAGACTTCGGGGTTATGAGCCCTTACGAGGATATTTCCCAAAGTTAAATTCCACCAAAGACTACAATCTTTGATGTTAAACTAGGGCAGTGGCAGCATTCCATATAAGAATAAAACTCTTCCAATTGGATGAATAAATCATTTAATCACATAAATCACCGTAATATCATACAGACAAAGAGGACGACGACGATGATGATGACGATGATGATGATGATATTAGTAGCGGTGATGAATGTATATAAGTGATGGTTTTGATGGCGGTATTAATTATTAAAGCCATATGATGAATGATGATAATGATGAGAATGATGGTGGCGGTGGTGGCACTGATGAAGAAGAAAAAATATTTGGTGATGAAGATGATGACATGATGAAGATGATGACGTGATGAAGATGATGACGTGATGAAGATGATGACGTGATGAAGATGATGGTGGCTGAAATGTTTAATGAAGCACGAAACATGAACACAGCTATGTCATTATGAACACGTCAGGAGAAATATAAAAATTATCAAAAAAAAAATAGTAAAAATCACTAAACTCATTCTTCACTACGCATTAAAAATAATGAATACCTATCGACAAATTTATTTTTAAGAAAACGAAAGCGAAAAACCCAAAAATGCATTCGGGTGAAATTTAGGATTCATTCTCAGGAATATTAATGCCTGTTCAAAGCCGAGCAGTTTCGTATTAAAATCTCCATCCACAATGAAGATGATTAAACAAGAAAGTTGATAATTTAACTATGCAGAGAGCGTCACAAAATAAAATAAAAATAAAATAATAAAATTATTTTCCGCTAAACAACATTAATACATTCTTTCATAACGACACATCTACTTAAAAAGTTATAAAGAAAAAAATCAAGATGAATGTTTCAGTAGGTCTTTATGATTTCTGATCAGAATCATAGGAGTAAAAATACTTGATAGGAATTCAAGATGTGCATGGCACAATGAACGAAGAAAAGGACGCGAAATATGCAAATGCATTTATTAATAATGACAATGAAATTAATTAATAATGATAATGAAATTAATTAATAATGAAATATGAAATATTAATAATGAAATGGTAGTCGTTCGAAGGATTATGAGCACGTGTGTTCATACGTTCGCGCGTTCACTGCCGCTTTCAATTTACATTCAAAATCACGATCTAATGGTTTGCTCTTGTACGAGTCAATAACAAAATTAATGTTTTTTTTAAATTTTATGAAGATTTTAATTTTTTTAATTTAATTTAATTTTAATTTTTAATCATTAAATTAAAAATTAAAATTTTTTAATAATTTAAATAATAATCGTGCTGACATCTGCTGAACATATGAAAAAATAAGCTGACAGATTTGAAGCACGCATTTTTTGGCGGTGCAGTCTTTTTTAATCTGTAAAAGACATTTTGAGATGATGAAAAAAACAAAAAAAAATCAAATAAAAAAAATTAAATGAACTCCAATTAAGTTGATGGTTAGAGGTGCCATGTTGGTATTTTATAAAATAAATGCAACCTTCTCCATCAACAGGTTATTAAACTTATTTAGTATTGTGTGTTTTTAAACATTATTTTCTTTCAAAATAAATAAATATATATATAAATACATATTATTATATTATAATATTATATAATATTTGAGATTATATAATATTATATATTATAATATATTAAATCTTAAAAGGTGTATAATTCAGTTTTTATAATAAATATTACTTCGTTCATTAATTAATAGGTTGTGCTTGATTTATGTTCGTACAAGAAAACATTTAAAATTTTATTTTTCGTCCAAAAGCCCCATGAACACTTGAAATTTCATGGAAACAATTGGACGAGTGGTGGAGTTTGTTGAATGTTTGCATCCTTAATGAGTCATTAAAAATTTAAATAAAAATATTTAAAATTTATTTTATAACAATTTCATGTGATTCATCATCTTGAAGAGGCCATGGACCCGACTTCAAACGGCCGCACCTTCCCTCAACCCCCCCCCCCCGTTATTGAATTTCGATGTTACCAAATTTTCATGACACACAACTCATTCCGACCGACAAAAATTGACCGAGCAATTAAAAAATTACAATAAAAAAAACACAATAATATGTTTAGTGCAATAATAAATAATTTCAAACACATGGTAAAAGTCAGAGAACAAAGATTTGAATGAATGGAAGTAATGAAAGAACTTGGAAAATTGAAATAAACCATTTTAATAATATCAGCCGACCAACCTCTGAGTTGAGGAAGCAGTAGACCGTGGAGACGAAGAGGCCCTGTGTGATGGGGTTGTGGTTCGAGTTAGGTGATTGGTGGCCGTTGTGGTTTGTAGATTGTGATTGGTGAATTGTGATTGGTTGATTGTGGTTGGTGAGTTGTGATTGGAGGATTGTAACTGATTAAATTTGGTTACTGAATTTTTATAAAATTTGATTGGTATTACAATAATATTTATTAGTTATTTGCCTTCAATTTCAACAAATTTTCAAAAAAATTTAGACATGGAGATATTTCAAATGCAATATGTGGTTGGTTCAGTCAGTTTGCAACAAAAGTCATCATCGTCGCCAACGTCCATTGATTTGTAATCTCGCGAAAACATAAAATAAATAAAAATTTGTTACTGATCAAATTTCGAGACTTTGTTTGTTCCAAAGCATTAAAAACTATTCGACAACTAATTATTTTTCAAATTGGCAAGACGGAATTGTTCCACGTTTTTACGGGTGTCTCTTTTGTAATTGGAATCAAGACTTTCTAATTTTGTGCTGTCGGACGTGCGATTTCTTACCTCTGGTGCTGGCTCAGATGTTATTAAATATTTTGTCGGAGTTATTGCAGTTGTTTTTGTGAGATGAGCATGTGAAGATATTTTCAATAACAAACTGAACATGATTAGATGAAAAAAAATCAAAGTTAATTAAAATAAAACATCCACAAACAAGCAGTCCACCGCAAAAGTACGTACGCCACACATGCATCTCAAATTTCCTTAAACAAAATCTGTCAACACGTGTGTGTGTTTGTGTGGGTATTTGTATTTGTGATTGTGCGTGTGGGCTGGTATGTGTGATTGTGCGTGTGTGTGTCTGTCTGCTGGTATGCGTGTTATGGATTTTTGTGTCTGTTTGTGCTGATGTGTGTTTGCCTGTGTGTGCTTCTGTGTGTGAGCGTGCATGTGTGGGCATTGTCTGTTTGAATATGCGCATATAATTGCATACGCAGACAGTAAACTTTTAGCTATTTAAATTATTTGATTTAACAATATACACACACTTATATATATACCTATATATTATATAATTATATCTAGGCTTGTCTAGGAACCCTGCGTTGTCTGTTATTCAGTTTGGCAGAAGGTTGAAACACCGTCCTGTTGTTCGAGCTTACTCGTGCGTGCCAATGTCATTCCATTCATTGCACTGCCCTTATAAAGAGCCGTACGTACGCAACTCACTTCCATAATCGTTAGCGCCTCTGAGGTCTTTTTGAAGGGCGAAATTTCAAACGTGTTGATTATTATTTTTAAATGTTTTAAATTGTCAAGTAAATTGTTATGGAGGTTATTAGAATATTTGTCTATTTTATATTGTTTAGAATTGAGAAAATTAGACTCTTTGCAGACGGTGAGCTCTAATATTTTGATTGTGTTGTCACGGAGTGGTACGATGTCGGGACGAAGTGATTTGAAGAGACACGACAGTGGGCGGATCCCATCATAAACGACGTCTGCATACATCGCAACCTCTGGTCCTGCGCATGATTTCAATTTTTCTATTATTATATTTAGAAAATTGTTATGGCGTGGTGGATAGGACATGTTTGTTGGTTTGCCGAGCATTGCAAAGTGTGCAAAGGGCAGAAGACGATTTTCCCCATCTAAATAGATTAGCATTTGTTGGAAGCTGTTGAATGAGGCTTTTCCTAACAAATTTGAACAGTACTTCAAGAAGTTTGGCGGTGAACCTTGACCAGTGAGCAATTCTGACTGCGGGAATGTTGTCTTTAATCGATTTAAAATGGTCCCTTGGCAGCGGAGTGACAGCAAATGTTCTAGTTCTTCATTTACTTCCCGGTTCTTTAGCGCGCTGAGTGTCGATTTTGTGTCATTTGAGTCGGGGAAGCATGTTGTCAATTTTAATATACTTATTGTATGACTCACTTCATAAGCATTTTAGCTTCTCGTGGCCGTTTGATTTAAGGTAATTTCGTAATTTTACTCTTAGAGATTCGGCAAAATGTTTGAGTGATCTAACATTTAAACCACCTGACTTATATGGGAGCGACAAAGTTTCTGTTGACTGTTTGTTGTTTAAGAGTGCCATAGTTTGTGTCAAAATAGTTGTAAATCATTTGTTGGAAGGCCGGCGTGAAGTTGTCATAGCATGGAAGTGGTTGTTGTTATAGTTGAAAGTAGACGTTTGTTCGGACCATTGGGTCGACACTTGTGTAGCTTGATGTTTGTTGAGTTATCCGTTATTGAATTTCTTTATTCATTTTGCAACAACGTTTTTGGGAGACATGCAAGAAATTCATTTTGCATAATTAACCCTTTCCTGCCTTTGCATCCTTTTCCGCAACAACATGTTATAACATTATTTTCTAAATTTATTGAATAATTATTCACAGACTTGCCATTATAAATATCAGGTGAAATGTTTATGTTTGATTTTACATTTGAACGAACAACGTTGTTGTTTGAATTAGCAGTTTTTTTAGTACACCTCCAGGAGTGTTTATTAACGTTAACAAACGTTTTGTCGCAATGTGGACATTTAGTTGAATTGACAGCGTAAATTGAATTAATTAAAATAATTAAAATACAATATTTAAGGTTAATAAAATTTTATTTTAAAAGTATCGCCATAATCCTCGTAATTTTTCAAGTCAACAGAATCAATTTTTAAACTAATTTGAAGGACATAAAATCGAAATTATGCCTAAAAACAGTAAGCTGAACGTAAACGTCCAACCCTCGTATTATTCGTACAGCATAATGAATAATACGAGAATTATAATAATAATAATAATAATATAATATAATATATAATAATAATAATAACAATAATAATAATAATATCAATGTTTAATTAAAAACAATGTTTCCTAGTTAACACTCTTTTAAAAAAGTCAAAATGTGAAAAAAGAAAAGGCGGCCTGAAGTTGAATGCAGCATGGAAGAAGTATGAGGTGATGGAAACTAAGCCCTAAATGAGGAATCATACAAAAAGGCTTTTTTTTATAAATTTAATTAACCAGACACACTTCTGCTCGGTGGCTCAAGCTGTAGATGTGCTACTTAGAGTGCCGGCCTCAGAACGAACTGCTGTGTTTGTGTGTGTGTTTGTGTGTGTTTGTTTGCGTGTGTGTGTGCTTGTTTGTTTGTATGTGTGTTTGTGTGTATTTATGTGCGTGTGTGTGTGTGTTTTTACACACCACCAGAAAATGTTAAGGATCGATAGAAAGTTTAAACAAACAACAGGTACAGCATGGAGAATTTATATTCAAAATAGCAATGTTTACAAGAGACAGTTTGATGGGGCTTGGTCCTCGATACCTTCAACAGATGATCGTGCCTGTCTCTACGGCTTCCGGGGGGCGAAAACTCAGATCCTCTGCCAAAAAGAAACTCGTTGTTCCTAGGTTCAGGACAGAAAATTATGGACGGCGTCGTTTCTCCGTGGCTGCAGCGGAGGTTTGGAATAAACTGCCCGATGATGTCGTTGATAGTATGGATGAAAGAGACATGTTCCGAAAACGACTTAAACATCACTTTTTTCACCGGCAGCTTCTCGAACAGCGCCTCTGAGTTTTACATAGAGGGGCGCTATATAAATTCTCCATACCATACCATACCATATGTGCCTACCATATTAACATTTCCTCTTTTTATCTGGTTACTAATTTAATTGTTGTCATATATTACCATATGTGTCTGTGTGTATGTGTTTGGTTGTGTGTGTGTGTGTGTGTGTGTGTGTGTGATTGTTTGTGTGTATGGAGTATGTGTTTCTGTGTGTTTATGTGTGTATGTGTGTTTGTATGTGTGTGTGTTTAATGTTGATAAATGAACAAGTGTACAATGAGCAGAGACATGTTTTTCTCCTTCCGATTCCAATTTGATTTACACTAGCAGCTCCGACCGGTGCGAATGAATTCAACCTGGAGCAACTTTTATGCTAAATTATTTTTAATTCGCGATTATTCATTTCCAAGCGGCTTCTTTCTTATGAATTTTTAACTGATCTTATGTTACTGAGTGACGTTGGATGCATTCATTGCTGCTGAGTTACTGAATCGACTGGTGTTGGTATTCTGAATTCAATAAAACTGGCCAAAGGATGAAAGGTTTTTGGAAAGAAAAAAATAAATGTAAAAAGCATGCTTAGATGTACACCATCGGCTTCGACGGTCCTCCGATGGACAAAGGAGGGTCACTAATTGATTGATTGATTGATTGATTAATTGATTGATTGATTGATTGAAGTTGCTGATGCAGGCGAAGATGTTAGCACTTTAAAATGCGTGCGAAGTTTTCACTGTTTGGTCAAACAAAATGTTGTTTGTCAGTCACTCGATGCCTGTTCGAGTCAGAAACAACAGCCTTGATTGAATAATAATGACTTCCAGTCACATAAAGAACCTCCAGGAAACTTTCCTAATGCACAAAAATGCTGGAATGCAAAGTAAATTTTTATCATTTCTCGTATGCAGGGGGAAACATCCGCCTTCTTACCGACACATCCATCCAGCCGCCATCCATCCATCCATCCATCCATCCATCCATCCATCCATCCATCCATCCATCCATCCATCCATCCATCCATCCGTCCGTCCATCCATCCATCCATCCATTACCAAAATTTTTCTTCAACTGAATGGTTTCTTCATTGGCGGTGGTTTTTAAACATCATCGCAGTAATGGAATGTTTCATTGTATTGAAGGCTTTTAATAACGCGCCTCATCATTTAATAACCTCAATTGTGATTTGCTGTTCAATATGCATACAGGACTACAACTTCTGGCCATGCACTGACCTTAATACAAAATATATCCAAGCTGCAACTCATCTCTTTGTTCATGGAAGAAGACTTGCACGAGGCAGCTGTAGATCGATGGAGAAGAACCAGGAGAGGATGTTAAAGGTTCGGTTGGGATAGTGTTCCGTCAGCATCAACAACATCATCATCAGACTGGCACGCTTAATAGGTAGGTACAACGTATGTGGGAATGATGATGATGATGTTGGTGATGATGATGTTGTTGTTGTTGATGATTATGATGATAATGATGATGTTGATGATGATGATGTTGTTGATAATGATGATGTTGATGATGATGATGTTGTTGATGATGATGATGTTGATGATGATGATGATTATGATGATGATGTTGATCATGATGATATTGATGATGATGATGATGATTGTGGTGATGTTGATGATGATGATGAGATGAATAAAAAATGAGTGCGTCGACAAACAACGTATGAAAAATAACGCACACACGCACACACATACGCACACACACGCACACGCACACACACACGTACACAGTTACGCGATGAAACGAAGAAATGAACTGGCAAGTCAAGTTAGCTCAGACGGTAGATTTAGACTTTAGACGTTAAATTTAACTTTCCCTATTATGTAAGCTAGCTTATGTTTTGTATGAAGCTTGTATCAGATACATCACACTATATCTCATAACACCATACATCATAACATCATCTCATAACACCAGCCACACCAACCACCCCACACCAGCCACACCGACTACACTACATTAACTACACCCCACTACACCAGCCACACCACACAATATTACACTACAACTACATCTCACCACATTCGTCCTCACCAACAAAACACCCACCCACACGCTCCACAACGACACAGGTAACTTCGCATGGCCTGATTTAAAACATCAAACTTAACTCTTCAACTGAGATGTAGCAAGGTACGGCAATAATAAATGAGCTAAAATGAAATATCGAAACAACAACTTTTTCAAAAATTCACCTACGCATCACATAGCTGCACTCAAACACACAAACACGGGAAAAATTAACAAAAATTTTTTTTCAATATCACAACAAAACACCGGCCAGTAATATAGTAGGATGTAATAACAGTCTCTACTCTCTAAACCTCAACCTACAAACAACCATGATACAAATCACAACTTGAAACCAAACAGCAACACAACATCTCAACTTGAAACCACACAACAACACAACATTTCAATTTGAAACCACACAACAACACAACATCTTAACTTGAAACCAAACAACAACACAACATTTCAACTTGAAACCACACAACAACACAACATCTCAACTTGAAACCACACAGCAATACAACATTTCAACTGAAACCAAACAACAACACAACATCTCAAC